CCACACATTTCTGATATTTGTCAGGAGGCATTCACACAAGAATCAAGCATGATAACATACCGAGACACACTTCACGATCAAAAAAAAGGTTTTGCATGTAACCAGTGCGAAAAGACATTTGAGTTCCGAAGTCATCTGAGTAGGCACCAAATATCAGAACGCAGAGTCCACAAAGATTTTGAATGCGACATCTGCGAGAAAAAATTCAAGAAAAAATCGAGTTTGACTACGCACCAGAAACTGGTACACAAAGATCGTGAAGATTTTACGTGCAACAAGTGCGAGAGAAAATTTGAAAATAAAACCACTTTACTGAAGCATAAAAAGATATTCCACGAAGTTTTTAAAGATTACTTATGTGAAAAGTGTGCCAAGAGATTTGGAAATAAACAGAGTTTGCTCAAACATGTAAAGACAGTACACAATGATCGCAAGGATTTCGGCTTCAAAGTGTTCAAAGATTACTCATGTGTAATCTGCGCAAAGAGATTTAATACGAAACATAGTTTTCTCTTGCACATAAAAACAGTACATGCTGGTCATAAATCAGATTTGTTGAAGCACCAAAGAATAGTTGATAAGGATCGGAAAAAATTTGCATGTGACAAGTGTGAAAAGGAATATACACGAAAACCAAAATTGCTTTACCACCAAAGAATAGTACACGACGGATGTAAAGATTTCGAATGTGATAAGTGTCTACATAAATTTTCACAAAAACAAAATTTGCTCGTCCACCAAAAGACTGTCCATGAAGGTCGTAAGGATTACGCATGTGACAAGTGCGAGAAGACATTTGGGGTTCGAAGCAACTTGATACAACACTACAAGACAGTACATGAAAAACGTAAAGATTTTAGATGTGACAAGTGTGAGAAGAAATTTGCACGAAAACATCGTTTGCTCTCCCACGATAAGACTTTGCATAAGGTTTACAAAGATTTTACTTGCAACAGTTGCGAAAAAAAATTTGGATGTAAATCAGATTTGTTGAAGCACCAAAGGACAGTACACGAAGATCGGAAAGATTTCGTATGCGACGAGTGCAAGAAGAAATTTACAGGAAAAACGAGTTTACTTTACCATCATAAGATAATTCACGAAGGTCGAATGGATTACACATGCGAAAAATGCGAGAAGAAATTTGGATACAAATCTAGTTTAGTTTTTCACCAGAAGACGATACGCGAAGGTCGCAAAGATTACGCATGCGACCAGTGCGAGAAGAAATTTGGGGATCAAGGCAATTTGAGAAAACATCAAAAAACGGTTCACGACAGATGCAAAGATTTCGCGTGCAATAAATGTGAGAAAAAATTTAATTACAAAGGAAATTTCCTCATTCACCTAAAAACAGTTCACGAGGGTCGGAAAGATTACGCATGCGATATTTGCGAGCGAAAATTTGGACAAAAAAAGAGTTTGCTTATACACCAAAGGACAGTTCACGAAAGTCGCAAAGATTTTGCATTCAACGATTGCGAGAAAAAGTTTGGAGCAAAACAGAATTTGCTCTCACACTTCAAGAAAGTCCATGAGGGTTGGAAAGACTACGAGTGTAACCAATGCGAGAAAAAATTTGGGACTCGAGGCAATTTGATAAAGCACCAAAAATCTGTCCATGATGATTGCAAAGGGCAGAAATTTGGATATTAATTCAATTTTTCAACGCACATGAAGGAAGTGTACACGATAGTCGCAAAGATTTCGGATGCAATAAATAGAGAAGAAATTTGGATTTTAACCACATTTGCTCTTGCACAAAAGAAAAATAAACGAAGGTTGTAAAGATTGATAGGTGCCACATTTGCGTGAAAAATGATGATTGACAAATGTAAATATTTATAGATACTTATACATAGTTTATGTACAAAATTTTTGTTTTGAGCTTTGAATGGAGTAAGAATTGAATTGGCTACTGGATTTTTGATAAACCTACGTAATAATATCGCGACTCTTCATTCATTAAACATGAGATAGTAAAACATTTTCATGAACTTGCTAACAGATAGATTATATCCGCTAAGAAAAACGTGATCGTTAATAAAATAATTTTCCAAAAAATTAATTAAACCAAAAAAGTTTTCTAAATTTTTTCAAAATTAGCAAAAGCTCTCATAATTAGTTTATCGTATTCCTAAGTATTTTTATCGATACAAAATATTTTTTGTTGAAAATTAAGTATGTTTACGCATCAAAACTTAGCGGGGGAGATCCGTATACGCTGGCGCATCACCTATTGTGGCGCACTTTTTATTCACAATGATAAGATATGCATGCAGGTTTATAAATGATGCTAAAGTAATTTGTTGATACAAATTGTTTGTAAGTTTGTTCATACAAATTACTTTAGCATCATTTATAAACCGGCACGCATATCTTGTCATTGTGAATAAAAAGTGCGCTACAATAGGTGAGGCGCCAGCATAGGCGGATCTCCCTTACACAAGGATCGCGGAGATTATACATGCAAAAAGTGCGAGAGGAAATTCGAAAATAAATAAATTTTCCTGAAGCATTATAGTAATATTTAGAGTACTGTCCTAAATGCCCCCTTTTTCGATGCGTAAGTCGCAGTTTCTGGTATAGCGAAGTGAGGTTATCGCACGAGGGTACGCGAGTGTGACGCGAACGATAAATAAGGTAATTGAATTGTAAACAATATAATCATATATGATTTTGATATAGTCCTTCAAATACATTGATCATGTTTATTCTAAGAACAAATTAGTATGTATGTTGTCTTTCGTGATGAAACAAGCCATAATACTGTAAGATCAATTTTACTTATTAATTTTTCGTGGCACTAGACAGAAGTAATCGTTCAATTCAGACCCTACAATGGATAAAAGTAATGAAAAATCCGAAGAAATTGACTCGAAAAATAGTTTAAGCGAGCCCAAAATTGTTGTTTCAGACGACAAACAATACGTTTGTGATATTGGCCAAGAGGCATTTAGACTAGAATCAAGCATGGTAACTCACCAAGTCACAATTCACAATAAAGAGAAAAATTACGCATGCGACAAGTGCGAAAATAAATTTGAGTTTCGAAGTCATTTGAGTAGGCATCAAATATCAGAACACAGAGTCCACAAAGATTTTGTATGCGACAGCTGCGAGAAAAAATTTAAGAAAAAATCGAGTTTGTCTACGCACCAAAAATTGGTACACAAAGATCACAAGGATTTCACGTGCAACAAGTGCGAGAAAAAATTTGAAAATAAATCAACTTTACTGAAGCATAAAAAAATATTCCACGAAGTTTTCAAGAATTACTTATGTGAAATATGCGCAAGAAGATTTGATACAAAAAATAGTTTGTTCTTGCATATAAAGTCAGTACATGACAGTTGCAAACATTTCGCATGCGACAAGTCCGAAAAAAAATTTGGAAAAGTACCAAATTTCTTTCAGCATCAAAAGGGAGTCCATGTAGGTAAAACAGGCTATGCATGCAAAAATTGCGAGAAAGAATTTGGACGTAAATCGGATATGATAAGGCACCACAACACAGTCCATGAAAATCGCAAAGATTTCGCATGCGACAAATGCGAGAAGAAATTTAGACAAAAACCGGGTTTACTTTACCACCAAAAGACATTCCACGAAGGTCGCAAAGATTACGAATGCGACAAATGTGAGAAGGTATTTGGACACAAAACAACTTTGCTCTTACACCAAAAGACAGTCCACGAAGGTCGCAAAGATTTCTCATGCGACAAGTGTGAGCAGAAATTTGGAGATAAATGGAGATTAATTAGACATCAAAGGGCAGTGCACGAAGGTCGCAAAGACTTTGTTTGCGACAAATGCGAGAAAAAATTTGGACAAAAATGTCATTTGCTTAATCACCAAAAGGTAATTCATGAATGTCGGAAAGATTTTGCATGCGACAGGTGTGAGAAGAAATTTGGGCTAAAAACAGATTTGTTTTGGCACCAAAAGACAATCCACGAAGGTCGGAAAGATTTTGCATGTGACAAGTGTGAAAAAAAATTTGGACGAAAATCGCATTTGATTTTTCACCAAAAGACGATACACGAAGGTCGCAAAAATTTTTCATGTGATATTTGTGAGAAGGTATTTGGATATAAATCGAATTTGCTAATGCACATAAAGACAGTTCACGAAGGTCGCAAAGATTACGGATGTGACAGGTGTGAAAAAAAATTTGGATGTAAATCAGATTTGTTGAAGCACCAAAGGACAGTCCACGAAGGTCGCAAAGATTACGAATGCAACAAATGCGAGAAGAAATTTACACAAAAACCGAGTTTACTTTACCACCAAAAGAAAGCACACGAAGATCAGTAGGATTTCGCACGTGACGAATATATGAAGATATCAAGTCTTAAACTAATGGAAAAATATGAGGTTTTATGGAAATCAATAGTAATTTCCAGAATACATTAGCTCATCAAATATTCCATATCAATTTCAGAAAAGTTTTATTAGGCGAATCACATTTTCCATAATTAGATTTCCTAACAGTACAATGACTATATTTATCATGATAGTAACTTTTTATCAAATTTTTCATTAGCTGTGTTATTATGACTTTCTAATATTTCAAACGTTTTTTATCATTATCGAAAGTTCACTTCAGATGATAAGCCAATCTTGTGCTAACTTTTTTTATCAACAATTGTAAAAATATATAGATACTTATATCGATATTTTTCTGAAAGTTTAATAAAAATCGTACCAGAGTATAATTGAGTTTTACCTGAACCTCTCATTAAGTCTCAAGTATGACATTGACATAAAATTAAATATTCTTCAAAAAATTTTTTTTGTATTTCGTTAATACATCTTTATGCAATAAATCGTAAAACAAATAGAAATCTTTTGAATGTATTGAGAAAATTTCAAAAATAAAACTTAATAATTATAACTGAAATAAAATTAAATAAGAAAAACAACAATTGAAATGCAAGTCAATTTCTCGATTTTTTTTATTTATTTGAAGAACGCAAAACATTCTCGAAAAAAACACTCTAATCATTCCGTTCGACATCGCTAGGCCGTCCTTGACCCTCCACCGCCAAGCAAATATTGAACAAATCCTCGTTGTTCAGATTGTCGCAGATCATGTCGGCGCAGAGAATCGGCAGCCGACAGTGAGTCAGCTGCATGAAGGGATCCAGGGCCCAGCTCTTGAAAAATCGCCTCGACGTTATCTCGAACAGAAGCGAGTGACAGGCCAGTCTGGGCTCGCGATCGAGTCTCCACAGTTTTGCGGAGCGCACGAACTCGTAACAGTCCCAGCGCGAGAATCGTCTCGCCGCCTCTCCGGGTTGCATCCGCATCAGATCGTGGAGCGTCGTGGAATCCGAGCCGTCGTCGTCTTTTACCATCGTATTTTTCGCGACGTCGATGTCCTGGTCGAGCATCGAGGCAAACGTGGGGTCGTTCACTCGTAGCCGCAGCACTCCGAGCTTATCGATGACTCTCATGATCGCCATGGCGTCGCCGCGCTCCAGCTCGTATCCCCTTTTTTCCAGGCACTCGACCAGAGTCATAGCGCCGATCGCCAGCATCAACTTAAACTCGATGCATTCGTTTACCAAGTGTCCACAGTGCTCGTCGAATTGCGCCTCGGTGGGGAAAACGAAGCTCGCGAGATCGGCTACACCACGATCCAAGAGTACCTCGAAATTATTGGGCGCGAGACTCATCGCGGCCCCCTGAAGAGGCGTTCGACCCCGATTGTCTCGCGCGTCGATCGGTATCCGATGCCTGCCAGATTCGTCGTTCATTCGGAAGAAGGCACTCACCAGGTTCGTACTCGAGGTGCGGTTTAGCTCGTGTCCCCCGCAGATGACGTGCAAAGGAGTCGATCCCTCCGCATTGGCCGAGTTGGGATCGGCGCCGCGTCTCAGTAGTACCTCGACCTCCGCGACATTGACGTTGTCCAGAGCCAGGTGCAGCGGTGTGTTGCCCCGGTGGTCGCGGGCGTCCACCTGGACGCGCCAGCCCAACTCGTCGCAGACGGCGAAGAACTCGCTGATCGGGCCCGCGCCGAAACTCCCCCAGCCCAGCAAGTGCAGCGCGGTCAGACCTTCGTCGTCGGTCAGGCTCGGATCGGCGCCCAGCGTCAGCAGCGCGCGCAACGCCAGCCGGGCCCTCACCGGGCACTCTCTCAGTCTCAGCGACAAGTGCAGAGCCGTGTCGCCGTCCTTGTCCTGGGCGTTGACGTCCAGAACCGTGCCAGCGAACTCCGAGTCGCCGCCGCGAGCCTCCAGGAGGAAATCCGGCAGGTACGAGTGGTCGTCCGCCCTCGCCGCCTCGTGCAGAGCAGTCGATCCCTCGGCGTTGGCCAGGTTCGGATCGGCGCCGCCCCGTCTCAGCAGCAGCCGGGTCAACGCGCGATCGCCTCGCCGCGCGGCCAAGTGCAGCGCCGTGGCGCCGTGATCGTCCTGTGCGTCGACCAGCAGCCGCCTGCGCTGGCCCCTGCTGCGCTCGCACAGGTCGAACAGCAGCTCCGCCAAGATCGCGTTCCCATCGGGCCCGAGCGCGTGCTCGCACACGGCGACGATGTGCAGAGGTGTCACGCCGTCGCAGTCGATCGGATTCGGATCGGCGCCCGCCTCCAGCAGCCACTGGATCATCCTCGTGCCGAGCTGGTGGCAGCTGTGGTTGGTCGCAGCGTCGCAGGCCAGATGCAGCGGCGCGTTGCCCGACTCGTCGCGGGCGTCGATCCACTCGGGATCGCGACGATCGATCCCGGCCAATACCTTGTTACACCAGAACTCGATGGTAGCTCGAGTATGGTCTTCCTCGGCTACGAGGTGCAGAGCTGTCCTACCCTTCTCGTTGGCCAACTTGGGATTGGACAGCATCGATCGGGCCAGTTCCTCGAGGCGGCTCAGGGCCTCGATCGTTGCCGATCCTTCGTCGGCCGAGTAAGCCTCGCAGACGAGCTGCAGAGACGTACGTCCTCGCGGGTCGGCCAACGTCGGATTGGCACCTCTGCTCAGCAGCAATTCGGCCAGCCTCCAGTCCTTGACGCTCAGTGCCAATTGCAGCGGCGTCCAGCCCGACTTGTCACGCGCGTCGACAGCTCGCACCCGCACCCGCAGGCACGCCTCCTCGTCGCAAGTCTCGAAGAGTAACTCGGCCATCTCGAAGGCGAGGTTGTGACGCTGACAGACGACGTGCAGCGCCGTCCGTCCCTCGTGGTTGGCCAAGTTTGGGTCGGCGCCCGCCCTCAGCAGCGTCCGGACCAGCTCACGGTTGGACAGCTGCCTCAGAGCCATGTGCAGCGGCGGATCGACGACGCGGCCCGCGGCGATCTGCTCGCGGCAGTTGGGATCCTGGCCGAGCTCGAGGAATCGCTCGACCGCCCCCAGGCAGCCCGACATGCAGACCTCGTGGAACGGAGTGAGGCCCAATCTCTCGTAGGTGTAGCGGCAGTGGCCGAGGTCGATGCTGCGATCGAAATTATCGCCTGCCGACATTGTTGTTTGGAGGCACTCACGCACACACGCACGCAAAGACACGAATAGCTCGGAATGTACAATATGAAACTGATGCCGGCCTAATTTCTTTTCAGTTCTTACACTTACGGCGACGTAACTCTTACTGATGTAAGTTAAATGTTTTCGAGAGAAAAAAGAAAAGGCGTGGCAACGCCCCCACTTCGCTGCGCTTACACTTTCTAATCGTATTCACGGCAGGTTTGTAGCTGATGCTCATGGCTCTCAGCTGCTGACTGGATTTAAACTCAAAAACTGTTCGTCTAAAATCTATAAGTGTATAAATAGTAGTTGAACGTCATCGATTCTCTTTAATAAAGGGAAAGAGAGAGAGGTCTATACTCGCGTGCGCAGTGGTTAATATATGTAGCATTTCAGTATCCAGCAAAGATGTTGTACTGACTGGGATTGTTCAAATTAAAAAAAAAATTAAAGTTATAATATCCATATAGCTCACTTTCTTCAAATCAAATTATTTTTAAAGCATCAATGAAATTATTATTAATGAAGAAAAAGCTGTTCTATTTGAATTTGTTGACATGAAATCAAGATGAAATATGGGTTAAAATCTGTATTTCAATACTGATTTTTAAATGGGTGATTTAATAGTGATAGAAAAAATGTTTAATTGCATCACACTTTTTCAATCATATATTCTACTCTCAATGTATACAGCAGTGGCATGAATTAGAATTCCTTGATAAACATGTCATAGTTATAGATTTTGTTATATAAAATGTAAAAATACGGCTTAAAAAGAGTATCATCATATTGGATATTTAATAATATTGTATTTACTTCCACATAATTCAGAAATGTCCAAATTAGTTCAAACGAGTCTGAAATATATCATAACATTAATGAAAAAACAATGATGATGAATATAACTTTTAAAATAATTTAATTATTCTACCATAATTTAATTCATCTGATTTTCTCTTTTTACCATCTACAGTTGAAACCTGAAGGACAAACCTTAATAAAAATTAGATTATAATGAGTTTGTCTTATGACTTATCGGATCAAATAAATTAAATTTGACACACATGTACTTTTTTCATTGATTTCTCTAGTCAAGTCTTTTTTTGTCTAAAAAATTGAAAGATATAAAATGCAGTGTTTCTTTGAAAATAAAAATATTATTTTTATTGCATTTTTGCTTCTGAGATCATCATCGGTAGTATGATTAATAATAGTTGTTTGCCAAATATTAGATTTATTTCAGATGATGACAAAAGAACTGAACATATTTTTTTAGTTACTATTTTTTTAAGAATGAATTGTTTACACTTATATAAAGTTAATTGAATCGTAACATTTTGGAAATAATATTTTTTTTTATTTATTCGTACTTACACATATGCACAAGTCTTGCTATAACTGATTAGTGCAGTTTAAAATATGTTGTTATGATAACTGTTACCCAAAATCGAATGAACCATCACAAGATTTAGACTGTAGTCGCCAAGCAAATACAACATAAATCTTCATTTTTTAAGTTTTCGATGATCATTTCACAGCAGAGAATTGGCAGTCTATATTGTGTCAGCTCCAAGAAACAATCCAATGCCCATTGTCGACAAAATCTTCTTGATAGTATCTCGTTCAGATGTGCAGCACAAGTGTCATCTTCTCGATCGAGATTGGGAATGGACCAAAATTCTCTAGAGTGAGCAAACTCGTAGTAATCCAGATACTTGAGTCGTTTCTCCGCCTCTGTAGGTCGCAACCGAACCAGGTCGCAAAGCGACAGACTCGAATTTATCATTACTTTCGCATACTTCTTGTCGTTGTACCAACATTTTTCAAGATCCACAAACTCTTTCTCATGATCTTTTAATTTCCCGAACACTTTATTTTTAACGAAGAATTTCATCACTGTCACGGCGTCGTTCCGATGCGGTTCGTATCCTCTTCTCTTCAGACAATCCAAGACGGCCAGAGCACCAGATGCTAGTCGCAATTTAAAATCACCCCAGTAGTCATCGAACCAACTGTCGAATCTCTCGTCGAGGTAACTTTCGGTAGGAAAAACAAAACTCGACAGATCACCACCATGATCTAAAAATTCATCGACGGCTTCTGGCATGAAACTCGTCACGGCCCAATCCAGTGGTGTCCGGCCCGAGTTATCCCTGGCCTCGACTCGTATCGTTCGACGCTGGTCTTTAATGATCTTGAAAAACGTCTTCACAAAGGTATGATGCTCGTCGTCGCAATACTCTCTCTTTGAAATCAAGTGCAGAGGAGTGTATCCATTGTGGTCAGCCAAATTCACATTGGCGCCGTTTTCCAGCAGTAACAGTGCCGCTTCTTTGTTGTCCGACTTCAGAGCCAAGTGTAGCGGTGAGTCACCGGTTGATTCCACGAGGAGATTGGGATCATATCCGAGCTCGAGGAATCTCTCCACGTGCTGTTCGAAGCCATGCTTGCAGATCACGTGAAAATGCGTATGACCGGACTCGTCGATGTAATTCACGTCAAATCTGGCGTATATGTCATCGATAAGAAGATCCAAGACGGCTACGCAATCGATTCTACTTGCCCAGTGCAGTGCAGTGGTACGACGCAAAATTGGCTTACCGTCTTCATCTACGTTGGGCTCGTCTCTGTAACCAGTGCAGATCAAAAATTGTACGATACTTAGTCCACTCCTCTCATTTTCATCGAAGTTCGTCACTTCCTCCGTGAGAAGCCAATCGATTTCTTCAGGCCGAAAAATGCTTCGAACATCGGGATACGGGCCTTCCCAATTTCTGATCAAGTTGGTAAGTTCATTGAAGAATTCACCTCGCTCTTTTTCAATCTTCCAATTGACCTTATCTCGCAGGCTCCTTAGTTTTTCAAAATTGACTTTTTCGAGATCATCCATTTGTTTAGCGTTGTTTTCTTCGGCTTCACCGTGTAAATTTTCATCGGATTCTTCACTGGACGAGGACATCTTTCACTCACAGATCAAACAACGCAATTTTTTTTTCTCTCGATAAGATATTTTTCACTGCTTTCACCATCGCTAAATGCAATCGATGCGATGTTTCTTTGTTTACGTTCATGCGGCACCAGCTTGTGCGACGACGCTGCTGCGGCCGGCGACATAACGACCCATATAGGTTAATAATGTGTATTGCATAATACAAAGTGAGATGAGAGTATGAGACATGCAGGAACGCGTTGATCGTTGCTTTATATTTTCGACACGAATTTAGAGTACTCTGTAACGATGGTATTTTTTATTCTAGACCTAAATCTCGCTTGGGTGTGGCAAAACTCATAGAGACATCTATTATTTTCTTTTGATCGGGGTGCAGGTACTCAAAAAAATTCGATTCGAACGAGATTAAATTTTCAAAAAAAATCTACGTTATTAACGAAATATACAGAAACTTGCTATTCTTCGCTAACAGCGTTGAAATGCTTACGGTGACCATTGTTATTTTTTAGTAAAATTTAATTAAGTCCAGTTTTGTGCAGGGCTAGATAGAAATGTGGTTGAACTTACTTTTCGACTGTTGCATAATCGATTCAAGTTAAATTTTCATTGATATTTTATTAAAAAATAAAGTGGGGCAATTTTTGAACAAAAAAACTATTCATGTGGATCATAACAGTATTTCTTTTATCGTGATCATATAGGCGTAACTACACGAAACAAAAGACAATTTTTAAAAAATTTATTCGTTGATTCTTTTATTAATAATTATGATAGCAGTGCTAATGCAAGCATAAATCTTGAGACTAGAGGCTCAATTTTCCTTAAGATAGGCGTTCGGCAAGACTCGACTTTTCTCGGTCCAATGGTGCACAATGCACATACACGAGTTTATAATTTAGGAAGACGTTGAGAGATATATATTATGTACAAAGGACAATATCATTAAAGATCGGCGATGGACTTGTTCAACTGCTCGAGAGCCAGCTTGGCACCCTGGCCGATCTCGGCCTCGGGCGTGGCAGCCGGCTCCAGGCACAGTATGTCCGCGGCCTCCTTGAGTATCTGCGCCGCCTCGGTCATCTTGGACTTGAGGGTGGGCGCGTCGATCGCCCCTGCGCTCCACTGGCCCTTGGCGATGAACAGCAGTGGGGCGTGCAGCTCGTACAGCATCATGCCCCGGGAGCGCTGCAGACCCGGCTCGACCTTGTCCAGCACCTGCAGACACAGCCGGCACAGCTCGATCTTGTGCTCGAGCACGACGTCCGGCAGATCGTCCAGGAAGTACTCCTCGACGCGGCCGTACAGCTGGGCCAGCGAGAAGCGCGGTATGGTGAGGAGCGCGTGGCGCGGATGCAGCACCGAGTGGTACTTCTTCATGAAGGACTCGCGCAGCTGTATGGCCTCGGGCCCGTCCGCCGCCGTGTACGCCTCGGCCTGCTCCATGTCCGCGTGTATGATCGTCTGGACGCGGCGCACCGCCTGGCCGCTCGTCGAGAAGTCGCAGTGCGTGCACTTCCATTGGCTCTCGGGATCTGCGCATAGGCATCGCGATATAATGTATGATTATATGAAAGAAAATGGAACTATTCACTGTTAAAAATTCTAGGTGCAAATCCACCAGGAATCCAGCTTGAATAGCCTTGTTTTAATTTGATTGCAGCTACATTTTTCAAATGGATTTTACAGACTTATTTTTGGGTCTCAATATTACAGACGTATTTTTGGGCTGGATTTCTAGATGGATGTGATTCCAGTTGAATTCTCTTCTCTTTCTCTTTTTTCAGTCAAAAAATGTAGCTGGAATCCAGCTGAGATTACATCCCTCTGAATATCCATCCCAAAAACACGTCTGTAATATTGAGCTTGAAAATCCATTCGATAAATGTAGCTGTAATCAAACTTTAACAAGACGATTTCAGTTGGAAATCCACCCGGAATCCAGCTTGACTAAATTTGATTATAACTTGATCCCAGATGGGTTCTTAAATTTGATTTTTAGAAAAATATTTTTAACTAAATTTACTAGCTTAATTTTTCAATCAAAAAATGTAGCTAAAATCCAGCTGAAATCCAGAGGAAATCACTTTGATTTGAACTCGATTCCAGCAAGATTTTTAGCTGAATTCTTAAACTAGATTTTTGATAGAATATATTAACAGAATTTTCCAGTCTAAGAATTCAGGCAAAAATCGAAAATTTAACCGCTAACTGGAAATCCATCTGGGAATCCAGCCTATTTAATACGTCTAGAATTGTGAGCTCGAAAATTCAGCCATTCAGCTAGAATCAAACTAAAATCGAAACGATTTCGTCTGGAATCAAACTAAAATTAAAGCGATTCCATCTGTGATTAAACTGAATTACAGATGGATTTTCAGCTAGAATCTCTCCTCGAAATTCAGTCAAACTTTTCAACAGTAAAATGACCGAACACCTACCCAGAGAGTCGAGCGGAAGCACCAAACCGTTGTCGCACTTGTTGCACTTGAGGGAGGACATGTGGGTGCCGAGCTCGCTCGGATCGGAGCAGCGCGTGCAGGCGCAGTCGAAGTACTTGCCCTCGGCCAGATGCTGGCGGCGCAGCATCGTGGGCAGCAGGGCGTGGGTGTAGCTGCCGGTGAGCTCGGCGCCCGCCGCGACTCGCACGGCCGCGCGCAGCTGCACCCTGAAGTCGGCCCCTGGGGCGGGGTCGCAGCTGTGCGCCGTGTTCGAGACGCAGCTGTGATTCATGATCGAGACCCGCGGATAGAGGCCACGCGCGAGGAAACCCCGACTCGTGCGTATCTCGTGATTGTTGATCTCGAGGATGCCGCAGCAGCGCTGGATCAGCTCCTCGCTGAATCTGTTTCATCGAGAATCGAAAGATAAATAAATAATTGCCGTGTACGATAGCGCAGTTGTTCTAGCACCCATGAATCAAATAAATTATATAAACTTTTATGACTTATTATAAAAACTTATAAATATTTATAATATAGTTTTGATTTTTTCAGAATTTGAAATTGCTAAATAGAAAGATCTATAAACTTTTATTATCTTTTATTATCTTTTGTAAGCATGAAATAATTTTTATTAATAGATCATAACTTTTTATAAAAGTTGACATAATTGTAACCGGAAATTGAAAAAAACTTTAAAACGTTACTAACTCTTATTAAATATTTATAAACTTCTATAAACTTCTATAAACTTTTATTAAAGTCTCAAACTCGAATTTATATCAATCAATAAAAGTATATAGAAGTTTACAAAGTCTTATTAATCTTTCTAGAAGAAACGATTTTCGTTAGGGCTACATGAAAAAAAAATCAAATTATCATACCTGTCGAGCTTGAGTCTGTTCCTGATGTACTCGACGACGTTGACCTGATCGGCCTGCCACTGGGGCTTCTCGCGGCGCTCCTTGTCGTGCGACTCCATGCAGCTCACTTCGCTTTCCCACCTCACCTTGTCCTTCTCCGAGGCCAGCAGCAGCCTGAGCGGGGTCACGCACTCGAGGTGGGGCACGCCCTGGGCCCGATCGCAGCCCAGCGCCTCCTGCACGTTGAAGCGCTCCTTGGCCTCGGCGAAGACGCGACACTCGTAGTCGCGATGCTGACTCACGCGGGCGCACTCGTCGCCGCAGACCGGCCAGCCGCAGTCCGGACACAGGGGGCCGGCAGGGGTACCATCACCTTCCACTGGAACAGGTGGCCAGGGACTGTAGCAGCCGAGACAGCAGGGATAGCTGGCGGCCTTGGGCCCCACGACGAAGGGCAGCTCCTCGAGGATGACCTCGCCCGCCTCGAGGCTCTTCGCGGCGACGAGGTAGCGGCCCACCCGATCGCTCCGCTCGATCTTGTACTTGAGATCGCCGCCGTCACCCTGTGCATAGTGCGCAGATTTGTGAGTAATCGTCGGTAAAACGTTTGCGATTTATCGCAAGCACGCGACACCAGTCAACTCCGATTTTTTACCCTCTCATTCGAATCAATAATAAAAAAGTACATGCAATTGTTTATATTACTCACCGACTTCTTGTCCGTCATTGTTGTGTTCTTGTTTAATCGTTCACATGAAACGTATTACAACAGCCGTAATATTGCACGAATCGACGCGCAGCTTAATTATATAGTCGTTTTTTGGGGTCGTGCGTGCGTGTGTCTTTTCTTTGGCAGAAAGCACCGAGAAACTGACTCCGCTCTCAGGTCGGCCGTGTCTTTTTATAAGCTCCCCGTTACCCGTATATATATTTACGTTTTTCGTACCTCAGTGTGTGTGTAACTACGATGACAACGACGAGCTGCGGTGCAGCTTAGGTATATGTACGTTGGATAAAATTGACAACCAAAATATAAGCTTTAAAGCGGCTCGCTCGTGTCTATATGTGTATGCGCGCATGTGTGTGTGTGTGTGTGTGTGTGTGTGTGTGTGTGTGTCTGTGCGTCGGCGACGGGCCAACTAGATTTTCGTAAGTCGCGCGCTGAAAACGGAGTCTTTCTTGTTATGTACAACCCGATGCACCGAGAGTTTATTAAACTCTCCAAGTCTCGAGACGAGTCTGGCGCGGAGGGGCAACTGCTTCGCCGGTTTTGTTAGCATAAAATAACGACTCGTGTAATATTTTTGGAACACGAGGAAACGCGCGCCAGAAATTACCGCGCGAAGTTTCGAACGTCGTCTCGAAGTTAACACCCTCGATCGTTTATCGCGTTCGCGATTCGTCTCGAAGAAATACCTATAATACCTGACATCGAAGAGAGAAAATTGCGGCTGCGAGTTGGTTTAATTTTTTTGCGCCAGTTTTGCCGCGGTGTTGTGTGCTCCGAAACAACCGGGCTCCAATGCGCAAACTCCGCGGGGGCCTCTGGCAGAAGAGAGAAAGAGAAGTAGATAGATAGGAGAAAAACGGGAGAGCTGATTTCAGTTGCTCGAGATCGTGTCACGCGACGTTACAACATATATCTCATAACCGACGACGTCTTCATCGCGAGGACTCTACCGTAATAAATTCGCCGACTTGAGCAAATCCAACCACAGAATCTGTGAGTACTCGTAATTACTCCTTTTTTTTCTCTATTGGATCTCGTGTTTGGTGCATCGATCGTGTGAATATAGACGACGAAAAAATAATTGCGAAGCGACACACGTGGACTCGCCAAGGTTTCGCAAGTATATGTATGAGCTCGCGTTCGCGTAACGACGGTTAATCGCTTCGTCTCAGTGACGACACGCGTTCCAATCTAGACGATTCCATGCATAAAGATACCGGCTCGACGAGGCACGGCTCATCGACGTGTCGTCGCTCGACAAAAAAAATGTAAAACGATCGATCGAATCGCGAAATGTCGTTCGATGCTTTTCGAACGATGCCGTCAAACGACGAAGCACGAACCTTTTTGGAAAATTCGCATTCGAGACTGCAGTCGTTAATTGTTATGCTCCGAAACTTGCAAAAAGGTTAGGGTAGAAAAAGCGCGCAGAACGGCGCAGAGAGAAGACTCGAGCGCGCGCCCCCGATGTGCGAACTACGAATTGATAGCCTTATGTAATGTGCTGCTGCTCCGTGGCGCGACTCAGTGTATAGTAGTGTCGAGTCGAGCTGGCAGAGCAGCAACGCTAACGTAGTCGTCGCTGGTCGATACAATATAAAGTAGTTATACTTCGGGGACCCCTCGTCGTTTGGCACAGTTAGTATTAATAGTGATTAATAAAAGCTTCTCGATCGCAAATTCGCACGATCCTCGTATCCGTTCAAGGTAAGCTCGGGGAGGAGTAAAAAAATCCTGCGGAAGCTGTGTCCGCTGTTTTTCGCGGAGGGAGGCTCGGAAGGGTGGGATGGGATTGAAGTCGGTCAGCCAACCCCTCGCACATACGTACACATGCGCGCGTGCGAAGGTTAACGTCGTTACGTGCTTAAATAACAACGATAAAGAATAATTCGGAAAAGAGCGTAAAACAACACGCGTCAAAGTGTCCCTCGGTGCCTGGACTGCAGTTCTCTCCAGGCCTGCGTGATCGATTTTTGCCTTCGCGTTCAATCTAAGCCTCTGGAATTCAGTTTCAACCCAGTTATATATATCGCAGTACTGAAGTACATTGCACACGCATACATATACAACACACAGACATGTCTGTTTAGCCAGCCGCGAAGGTTACTCTCTTTTTCTCTCTCTCTAGCGCGCGCAGCAGCAGCAGCAGGCGTATTATACCTGTGTGTACTTACTTACGTATTATTTGTGCACTCGAGTCTCGTCGTCGTTACTCAAATCGGGTCAGTTTCCTCGGCGCGCGATACGTGATATATCAAGCTCGCCCTTTCCATTCATTCTTCTCGGCCACGTTCGACGAGTGCATCTATATTATACACATAATAAGTGAGAATCACTCGGCGCCCCCGTGCCTTTCTTCCTCTTACTTTTTTTGTTGTTGCTTTCTTCGTCACCGGACCCTCTCCGGTTATCTAACACCGCTGCTGCTCTCTCTGCATGCTAATCGGCTTATCACGTGTCTCTTAACTTACGTGCTGTGTTGTGTGTTGTTTCAGTATAGAAAATGGCTCCACCTACGTATGGCGATCTCGGCAAGAATGCCCGCGACGTTTTCGGCAAGGGATACCACTTTGGCCTGCTGAAGCTCGACGTCAAGACCAAGACAGACTCCGGCGTCGAGTTCTCGTCCGGTGGCGTCTCCAACCAGGACACCGGCAAGGTCTTTGGCACCTTGGAGAGCAAGTACAAGATCAAGGAGTACGGTCTGACCTTCGTCGAGAAATGGAACACAGACAATACCCTGGGAGCCGACATCACCCTCGCCGACAAGCCTCTCCAGGGCTTGACCATCGGTTACAGTTCCACCTTCTCCCCTCAGACTGGGTAAGCAGCACTTTGGCACAATACACGTGTAATAATGTTTTATTGATTTTGACTGATGTTTAATTGTTCAATTTTTTATTCAGTAACAAAACTGGTAAATTGAAGACCACATACAAACATGAGAACATTGCTGCCACTGCAGATTTTGATCTCAGCCTCTCAGCTGGCCCTCTAATCAACGCCTCTGCTGTAGTTGGATACCAAAGTAAGATTTTCATTTATCATTATAATATATTTTACATGGAACTCAAAATTAAATTTATTTTTATGAATTGCAGGTTGGTTGGCTGGTTACCAGGTTGGTTTTGATTCTCAAACCAGCAAAATCACCAAGAACAACTTTGCTCTTGGTTTCAATGCTTCTGATTTCCATCTTCACACATCTGTGTAAGTTGCAATTTGACTGGTTCAATTTGAAAAATGTTTGTCTTGTATTTCAAAAGTCTAATAACAATTTTCATTTATTAGTGATAACGGACGTGAATTTGGAGGATCTATCCATCACAAAATCAAGCCTGATTTGGAGGGAGCTATTAACCTTGCTTGGAACTCTAGCAACAATGTCACACAATTCGGTCTTGGTACCAAGTATGATCTTGATCGCGATGTGAGTGTAAGAGCTAAGATCAATTCTCAACTGCAAATTGGTTTGGGATACCAGCAAAAATTGCACAGTGGTAAGTTAAATTTATAAAATTAATTTACAATTTTACAAGAGTAAAATAACACGAACTAGTAAAAATTCGGAGCAGTTTGTGTAAATAAATATTATTTCAATTACTCACTTGAGTTGAGCAGAAAATTCCATTTTTATCTTCAAAATAATAGCTGTCTATGGTTTGTTATTTATAGTCACATCACTTGCTATTCTATAATTAGATTAACCTACGGTGAACTTCAGACATTTAAAGTAGCTGCAGACAGGATGTTATTTTATGTGCTTGAGTTTCTATAAACTATGGCTTGAATTTAAATACTTTATGCGTGTGTCTTTTAATAATATTTAAAAAATATATATTTGCTTTAAAATAATAATGAATGATTTTAAAATATTAAATTTGTAATTTCAGGTGTATCGCTCACTCTGTCTGCAAACATTGATGGCAAGAACTTTGGATCTGGTGGACACAAAGTTGGTTTTGCTCTTGAATTGGAGGCTTAAATTTCCAAGTCAAAGTGAATCCTGCCCCTTTAAAAAAATACTTCATTACACTGTCTTGCGTCATAATGACCAAGTCACGGTTACAAGCTTCAAACCGATTTTTGCCTGTAATGTAATGTAGGTAGACATGCCCTAGATGGGTCACTCGAACTTTAACGCATCTTGTTTTACGAGACATTATTGTCAATTGTTTACACAGCCTACGATTTTAAATATGTAATTAAAACATTCAGCGCAAGACGTGACGCAAATAAAATAATTCATTTAAGAATCAAAAGAGCTCTGTATTAAGTGGCTGTAAAAAGCATTGTGTTTGTTAAATTTTAAGACAACAACCTCATCTTGAATTCTAAGTTAAGTAAAAACGTGACGTTAAAACAAAAATAGTATGAATTAATATGGATAAATCCATGATGAAATAATAATAAATGAAGTTATAACGAAACTGGAACTGAACACGTTTTACTTTCACTCAAAATTTTTAATACATTTATGTTAATTTTTTATGTAGTTTATAGTTTTTATAGTATTTCACTGTATTTATACGTATCGTATTACATCATTCACTAGCTTTTTCTGGCAGGTGTGTCAATAAAGAAGAACATGGTTAAATTTTGTGGTAGTGATTTATTTACAAAAAAAATTGTGATTTCAAAGATTCCTTTGTTTACTTTGATTTTAAAATAGTTTTTAAATCACATAAAAAATGTATTCACATAGCAGATACTTTTTAATTATAAATGGTGGCACTGGTGGTATGTACTACACTTTTTTTATCTTATAGTTATCTTTTAGGCAAACAATTGTAATTTTTAATTACTTAAAAACGTAGATTCTATTTTATATTAATGCACCATTTGATCATCCATGGTTTGTGCTGCTATCCAATCAGGTTCTGCTTGAGCAATTTTTTCAATTATTTGGTTTACTTGATAACAGAGAGACTGGATTTGTTTATCCCAAGTAGGTAAGCTTTCTCTTGCTGTAAAATTAAAGAATAATTTACGTAAAAATTTGTTCAATTTCATCAAGAAATCCGAAACTACTTACTTTCAAAGTGAACAATTGAATCTATTTGATCGATGTAGCCGTTCATTCTTCCTTCTGTTATCATCTGACTGGCAATCTTTTCAGCTTTAGTTGGGGGTATTTCTAAAAGTGAGCCCAACTCTTCAAATGTGATGTTATTGTATAATTTACTAGCTGAAAGCAAGTTATGTTCAATGACAGCTCGATCCAAAATAGTAGAGCCTAGGCCATCAGATGTGCATGCTTTTTGGTGTGGTTGAAGAAGAGCCTCAAATTCTTCCAGCTCTGAGCGACGAATAATTCTATCTAAATACATTTTCTCTAAAATGGAGTAAGCTGGAAGTTGTTGACACCGTTCATCTTTGAATAATGTGGCTAACATACGACTCCTTTGTTGACCAGCTGATGCGAGCACTGTGCAGATGAGAGCATTTCTGAGTGCAGTCATTCTTTCATCTTCATGAATTATAGATCTGTACGACAGCTCATTATATCTTTGAGCTGCTTCTATGAACTTTCTTCTATAATCTAATACTCTGGCATAGCAAACTTTATAATAAATTTGAAGCTGTTCATTTTTAGATTCAGCCTAAAACAAAGTAAAGTTATTTATGAATAAATAGATAACTTGGTATCAGAAAATTATTATTTTTTTTTTTTTTTTGAAATTCAATTGTTTTCAATTCAAGTACCTGTAACAATGATGCTCTGTTGATAAAAGCTTCAGCTTGAACTGGATCATCATCCTCCAAGTATAATCTTGCTATTTTCAGATATGTATCGAGTTTATAGTCCACTGTATATTGCCTGGAAAATATTTTATTTAAACATTCACTCAAAAAGCAATCAATAAACTATCTAGAAACTCACTTTTGACCAGTTTCGAGTGGTATACCAACAAGAACATTGGCTGCTTCGTGCCAATTCTGATTACGTTCATAGATATCCGCCAAATGTTGCCTGATACTGGCAACCTGTTCTTCGAATGAAATTACTCTAGGTTGTACCTGTTAAATGAGTAATAATTTCATTCACAGTTCCTGTAAAAACTTTCATCACAAACATTACTAGCTGCTGGCTTACCTTATCTAGTGTGTAATGAGAAACAGCTTTGGAAATTTCATCTGGCAGCTTTTGCAGCCGATTGCTCACGTCTGTCAGAATTTGTCGCGAAATAACCAAACTCACGTTCTCGTTGACGACTGCGTAAACAAGAGAAGAACAGAGGCATGAGTACGAGTATTGTCAAAGGTCAAATCAAAGGCTACAAGTGAGTGAGAAATCGATCTTACTTGCTTCGACGAAAACCTTTAGGGCCTCGGTGAGTTCCTCGCCGGTAGCATTGAGGATCGTGTCCAAGTACGTGCGATATCTGCGTGTAAAAAATTAGAGGATAAAGCCTTGCAAAATCGCAACGTTCGAACGATACGAAAACAGAATAAAACATGAATAAAACGCCTGCTTACTTGTCGGCCTGATCCTTGTGAGAGCCGCCCGAGTGGGCCAGGGCGGCGAGCTGCTGGCGCATTAGCGCGGCTACGGTGACCACCATGTTCTTCGGCCCGTCGTCGACTTTTCAACGGGAACACACAAAACAAGACTATACTCGGTAGAAGACCGATAAAAGTCCTCGGTGATTATGGCGATGATTTATATAGGCCTCGATTCTGAGCACCGACTCCTGATTATGCCTGTGTATACGAGAGTCGAGTATAATAAGACACCGCCGGGATCAGTCTCGGAGTGTGTATGCGTGTTATGTATGCGATGTCTATGTTGTGCGATATATGCTACTGCTGCATATAGATAGGTAGTACACATAGACAGCCGAACGCGATGATCTCTCACGATGCTGTTTGCGGGTAGGACTTGTAAGGTTATGACCGCGGACGAGTTTGAAGTTTCGCAGCGCAGTCGTTTCAGCAGCACTTTACAGAAAGCGAAAAATCAAGTCGATAACGTTGCTTTCTTTTTATGTTTTCAATTTTTATACGACAGCATTATTGTTCGTACGATTAATTAACACAGGACATGTTCATTCTATTCTCTTGCAAGAATCGCAGAAATCAACATTCAGCCCGAAATTTAACAACGAGCTCCAATAAAGATGTTTCGAATTTTCAATAAAAGAGCGTTAAAAAATCATTGTCAAAATCAATCGCTCCTATCAATCATCAAAGCAGAAAATAAATATTAATTCGCCCTATACGATATTCATTTTGAATCGAATTCAAAAATTGGCACGATCCGCGCGCGCACCGACGCCGCGCACGGCAAAATAATCCGGCCGCGATGACGCGATATGGTAAATGATAATGATACAAAACTGGGCTCACACAGGCGAGCGAGCGATGCGCGTTGGTCTTCTGCGCGTTCTCTCATTATTCGAATCGCTGTCAATTTCAATCGCCTCTTGCGATCTCTTGCCTGCGTGTATACGCGATCATTCACGGTCGGAAAAACGTCTCGTGTTCTTCAATCGTCGCCGTGTGTTGTGTCTTTTCGTTCAAATCGAGCAGTGTCTCCGGCGTCTTCATCGTTTCCGACATTTCATTTTCCTCGTAAAAATTCACATTCTTTCCAATAGTTGTGTCTCTTTTTCAATTGGTCGCTGCCGTGTTCATGCCCATGAAGCGAACGAGCACAGAACGGGGATACGCTTCGAGGTTTGATTACGGTCTTTTTGGCTCTCTTTGAAGAAACTCTTCTTCTGAATATTTTCTGATCAACGCGTGCCGCACCAGCGACACCACTCGTCGTAGTAAGCAGTTACGGGTGCCCGCGCGCGCGCGCACTCCAATCAACGCCGCCGCGCAGCTGCATCGTGTGTGTATACTATCACTGACTGCTTGCACACACCGAGTTTGGATACAACTTGGACTCGAGTTGTGTTTGGTTGATTGTATATATTTTCACCACCTCGTGTGCCGTGTGCGTGGATAGAACGATAAAGAAGAAGTTTATCGAGTGAAGTTTTCGGTGCGGTAATTGCCTACGTGTTTGGTTCGTGGCTTCGCGTGTGTTTTTTAATTGTAAAAAACCGAGCGACAGATAGATCGAACAGCTGATATATTTGGTTCGCCTTTTTGAATCGTCGTCGTCGTCACGATCGAACTGTTTACCATCTCTATCCCCGTACCTCTCGCGCGTGCACGGGTAAAGAAGATTATGCGTGACGTATGAGCCAAGTTCAAAAAGTTTCGATCCATCGCAGCACTAAGATTTTTTAAAAAAAAGGTAAGTCAACTGCATCTTTAACCGTGGGGGGCATGGGTTATGATTCAAATGTGTGCTATGTATGTGTATATTGTAGATAGAAGGTCGTGTCGCGACTGCAATAGCCACTATCCGCGATGCGCGTGTACGAAACATATAACACGGTACATAGGTGACTCAGGTACGATGATAATGTACGAAATTTGTATGAGTTTTGAGGACGATTTGATTTTCCCGAAAGACGCGCCCCGCGTCAGGACATCGCATACGTAAGCACGTGCTCGTGTTTACGAAATGTATACAAGTGGCACATGCACGTGATTTTCATTTAAGAAATTTCCAAATTACACTTTCGGAGTTGGTGCTGTCTTGCGCGCGCGTTGGATGATCACCGTGATATACGAGTAAAAAGACGGGTCATGTAACGCTCCACGACCCACGCATATACGAGAATTGCATATCTCGGTGCTCGAATTCCACAATGAATATGACATTTAAATCATGGGATTGCCTCGAATTTGAATTAAATCGAAGCGGCGGCGCTAAAGCAGAAAGCCGCACACAAGTCGGACTTGTTCACACCGCGTATAGTATCCCATAGAATATCGACTCGCGCATTAGAGCGTTGCGGCAAGTTTTTTTTTTATTTCATATAATGTGTACAGTATGTGTCCCGTTCGTATATACCACTGCAACGATATATACGTGTTAGAGGTGCCTCGTATACGTGTGTACACACTACGTACACACTATATATAGTATAAATATAACGCTATATACGCGGCCTATGCTGCGTGGAATTCAATTTTTCAAGCATCGTGGCTGCGCGCTACGGGGGGAAAATGGCGCGCGCGACTACTCGAAGAGTCCAGCCACGAGATAGCAATGGCGCTAATGTTGCTCCGAATTATTATACCGAGTTTTTAGGTATACGAATAATAATACGAGGTCCCCGACGAGCACAAGCAGATAATGATTGTCGATACTTTTGATGCACCATTGATACGAGCTCTCGATCCGGCGTATTTTTCATTACAGTTTTTCTCTCGGCGTAATTCGAGTTTCGACCGCGCGCGACTCATCTGGGCCCCGCGCTTCTTTACGTAATTCGTGTGAAAAAAGGCCGAGAGAGCCTATGCTGCCGCTGCTATATACACGGCGTACTCGTATGATATAGTGCCGTCGCGTGAGAGGCTCGGCGTGAGTTTGAATTTTTGAATTTTTAAATCCAGAGTCGCCTCGCCAGGGCATAGATGCGCTGGTGTATATACTGCAATACGGAGCGCGTCGTTGTGTGCGTAGGTACAGTATATATCGAACGCTACTACTATACAGAACTTGTATACGGGCGTGCTGTGTGCGGCGGCGGCTGCGTTTGTGTGCGTGTTTTCAAATGTGTGCTCGATCCCGCGTTTTGCTACGAACCCATTGAATTTGATTATTCGGACTCGTTGTGCTTTTCATTGATGAATTGATATCAAGATCGAGGCGTTATCCTCCTCTTCGATATTAGTTGCTTTTTTCCCGTACGCTTTGAAATAAAACATAAGTACGTTCGAGAGACAATGTTGAGTTAACCACGCTGTACTTGCATCTTTGCAGATTATTTATTGTGCATTTCGTGAGTTGAAATAAAAAAAAAAGCACCGAAAATGGAGGTGGATAATTCGAGTCCAACTGAGCCCGTACCCATGAGCGACGACAGTGTCAATGCATTGGTGATTGACCAAGGATCCAATGATCAGTTGGGTTCTCATGATTATGAAACTCTGGCCAATATAGAGGCAGAAATCAAAAGTATGAATGCAGAGCAGCAAGTTGGTGCACAAGAGTCGAGTCTTCAAATGGAGGTCGAGGAAACCCCAGAGACAATTGTTCCTGATGTTGATATGTCAGAAATTGCTGGCAATACCAGTATGGAAATGTCGAATGACAATCAGCCCAAATTTATTATTACTGCTGATCCAACTGGAACTTTTAGCTTGGTACCTGAGAAACCAGCATTGCAAAAAATTGCTCCAGCAACTACCACCTCTGTGAGTTTTATTTACATATATTGTAAAATATTATTAATATTCAAAAGGGTTCTGCTAATATGATTCTTTCTGATTATAGACTATGCAAAACATTGCACCAGCTACTCAAAGGCAAGCAATGTTGATTGTTCAGCCTTCAGTTGGTGGACAACAACATTTTTTGAAAATATCACACCCTTCTTCTGCGTCAATTCCTAAAGATCAATTGCAAACTCTGGCTCAAACAATTATGTCTGGTCAAACGCCAGATGGAAATGTTGTTTTACGGGCTGCACCAACTACTAAACCACCAAATCTTGCTGCTAAAACAACTGGAACTAATACAGCAAAATCAACGCAACCAATAGCTAGTAAAAAGAATCTTCAGCAAAACAAAAATGTAAGTTAATTGTACCATTTTCTAATGTGTTGTTAACATCAGAATATTTCTTTAAAACTTAAATCTATCTTCTCAGGTTTTTACCACAAAGATGATAATTTCAAATACTCCAGCCCAGAGTAATCAACAACTTTTGATTGCAACTCCTGCTGAAGCTGCTGGTCAAACTATTAAGTTTGTTTCAAACACTGCGTCAAATGTAAGTATGGGTAGTCCTACAAAAACTATAACTTTTGCCCAAGCTCAACAAATGGGTCTCATTCAATCATCAAATAAAGTACAACATATTTTACCTTCAAGTGGACAAAAACAAGTAAATATTCAAAAAAAGATGTCTTTATCTAAACATTACTTTATAATCATTTTATTTTAAAGGCAATGGTCGTCAATAAGGTTTCACAGCCAATTACTACCCAAGGATCAAAGGTAGCAGTTGTATCTAGATCACCGGCTAAAATACTTCCAGCTCCTCCAACAAAAACTGTAGCTGGGAATAAAATTATTCAGCCTAATACTCAAAAAGTAATTATTAGACAAGTAAGTATCACAACATTTTTTGATAAAAATTCCTATGAATAAATAAATAAACTTATGATTTCTTCAGAGTACTATGAAAAATACTGGTGCCAATAACAATCCAATTATAAGGTTACCAGCAAATCAAACAATTAACCCAAATCAAATCCATCAAGTACAGATTCCAGGTCGACAGGTGAATACGCAACATCCCAAATTAATATTTTTAATTTTAACAAGTTATTCTAAGTTATTATTTTTGTATTAGGGAGTACAATATGTTCGACTCGTGAGTACTACTTCTGCAACAGGAACAGGTAATGTTGTCACCACTGGTAAAAATAAAACAGGTACAATCCAAACTGTTGGTGTTACTCAAAAAGTTGGTACACAGCAAGTGGTTAAAGTTGTTCCTTTGAATACGGGTAATCAAACTCTACGTACCGTTGCTCCGAAAACAACAGGAACTCAGAGAATTTTAATACCAGCAGCAACACCTGTAGTTCAGCCTAAAACTAATACCATAACAATACCTGCTTCAGCTCTAAGTCAACTTACTTCGGGTCAAGCTGTACTATCTACAGCCGGGAATGTTGGAAATATTGTAGTTTTACCACCTCAATATCTTCAGCAAGTGAGTGGTTTATTTTTTTATATTAGTTTTCTTTGTAATCAAGAATTCTCATTGATTTAGGAATCATTTCCAAAAAATTATAATGTTGACTTTTTTGTAGGCTGAAGACGTCAAACCTAAGCTGCAACCTGTAACTTCAACTGCAGTAAACAATTCACAAAACTCTTCGAGTACCATGGCATCCTCGTCGTTTACCGAATCAAGACAGTCCCGTTCAACAAGTAATGCTGATACGAATGGAATTAGACCAAGAAAACCTTGTAATTGCACGAAATCACAATGCTTGAAACTGTAAGTATAAATTTATAAATATTAATGTTTTAAATCTTTTGTTCTTAAGCCAAAAATTCAATTCGTTATTTCGTTGTTCATTGTCATATCATCACGTTTCTCAAATTATTGGAACAAAAATTTCAAAATTGTATCTTGGGGGATTCGAAAAAATCAGTTAAAAATACAATTTTCCACTATAATTTTTTTTATTAATATCGAATTTGCAATCTATGTTTTATTTTGCATAAAGATTTTAATTTGACTAGATTTTAAATGAAATGAATTTCTTCAACTCAAATGAATTATAATATATTATTCGAACGCGATGTTCATTTGTTAATATTCGGAAAAATAAAAGAGCGATTAAAGTCGTTTCTTGGTAAAGAACTGACGTATTCTCCGCATTTTTAGTCGTTGATTTTCGCTGCAATCATCGCTTACATATTTTATAAGTACCAACAATTTCAAGTTATTAATTTTTTAAAAATGTACGCGTGTAGATACTGTGATTGTTTTGCCAACGGCGAATTCTGCCACATGTGCAACTGCAACAACTGTTCCAATAACCTTGGCAACGAAGAGGAACGTCATAGGGCCATCAGATCGTGCTTGGAACGTAACCCGAATGCTTTTCGTCCGAAAATTGGGAAAGCTCGTGAAACAGGAGACGATATAAGAAGGCACAACAAAGGATGTAATTGCAAACGCAGTGGATGTTTGAAGAATTATTGCGAATGTTACGAGGTAAGTTGGTGAAAAATGTTCAAAAGGGCTAAATAAAGTGTAGTCTAACCAGGTGTCAAAATTTACCATTAAATATATTTTATAGGCTAAAATTCCTTGTTCTAACAACTGTAAGTGCATCGGTTGTCGTAACGTTGAAGAACCGGATCTTTCGAAAAAATCGTTGAATGATTTAGCAGATGCAGCTGAAGTGAGAACTGCTCAATTGTCAATTGGCAAATCTAAGATTCAACCAAGTTCGGATATAACTTTCAGACCCCCGGCTACATCTAATGCGGGTGCAAGGTTTGTATTGAATTAATTGAACATAACTAAAGTCTTAATTGTTTTCAAAATGATTTATTTTATCAATGATGATCTATGTTCTTTTAGGCAACCTTTCAATTTCTTAACTGATAAAGTTGTTGAAATGACTTGTCAATGTTTGATGGCACAAGCTGAAGAAGCTGAAAAAAACATGTTAAATGAGGAAATGTCTGAGAAACTAATAATTGAAGAATTCGGACGGTGTTTGAAAGAAATTATTGATTCTGCTAGCAAAGCGGATACTGTTTAGCAAGTAACTAATAATTTTATAGAAGACAAAACAGTCCATTTATCATTAAAGTCCATATTTTAAATTGAAGCTGCACAGAAATATTTTACTGTGAGTCGGATAAATTAAAGTGGAATGTTTTTCTACTGATACCAAAGATGGTACACTTTGTCAGATAAATGGTTTGAAAAGTTATAATTGGTGATCTTTATAAAATGTGTATAAAGTCATTTGCGATTTTTTGTGAATAAATGTAATACTATTTCTAGGTGTAGATATACATTTTAAGTTGTATAGTTGAATTGTAGATTTTTAATTAGCAGAAATGATGCAAAGATAATTGCATTTCATTTTGGATTTAAAACATTTTACCTTTTGCTTCAAGCACTGAGTAAAATATTGTATCATTATACATAAACAATAATTATAAAAATATTATTGAATTAAGTTGATTTAAAACCTAGTTTGTATATATATTAAATTATATTGAAAAAATTTTTATTTACCAATCAGTAAAAAAAAATATAACTAAATTTTTGACAACGCCCTTTGGAAAATTGAAGTGTATAATAAACTGCAAAAATTGTACTAATTACTATAATAAATTAAATTTCTAAAAATAGTGTTCTATCCAATAATATTGTCTGTAAATAATATAAATAAATAGGTGAAAAATAAATATATATTAAAAAAATAGTTATGCTGAATATGTACTTGGCGTACTTTTAAAGATTTATTTGAAAGGTTCAGATTAAATTATTCAAAAATTTATGATAGCTACGTGAAAAGTCTAAGAGATGAAATATTCAGCTGATAGTTAAACTATAGTGTGAATTCAGAAGGATTAAAAATGATTTTGTGTGAGTACTAATGAGCTGTTTGTATTATGAGTGATACTATTAAATTTTCAAGGTGTATATAATTAATCATAAAACGCTGCATGGCTTAGAACATTCATTTTACAAAAATGAATCTTTGAATTTTCAATTATAGCAAAGTTAGTTGAATTATATCTTAGGCTTAAATGATGATATTGGTTTATGTAAAATTAATTTATCACAAATTGGAGAGAATATACAATCAAATAGATATATTTAGAAATTTTATTCATAACAAACACAGTTATGTGTCTTATGTACTATATTAAAAAAAAAAAAATAAATGTAGGACTTTTATGAAATTAGCTATGTAGCAACATTCTTTTGCGTACTTTTCCAAAGTTACCTTAAATTTTCTTCAGGGTACTTCTTCAGTGTACCCTGTAAGTACTTCTTCAGGGCGAATTCTAGCTTCGCTCGAACATGAAAAATTGATTTGAAATATTGTTTACACCGAGATACACGTATACAAGATGTATGTATCTACAAATCCGGCTTTTCTGTCATTCATTTAATGCCTGAATACTGACTATTTCATCGACAGCCGCCTCGCTTCGTTTCTGATGCCGCTGCTTCTTGCAACAGGCTCTTTTTCGCCTGCTACGCGATTCTGGCATCAACTTGTTGCAATAATGGTTCACGCGGCGAATCCACAAAACTCGTTCAAGTGGATCTCATTTACCATGGCACTATAGTCAACCATTGAAACTCAACTGAACTAATGGTCTTTTTTTATCCTGACGAGGTCAGCGTATTTCTGACGAAACGTCGAACGTGTTATAACTAAGGAGAAAAAGTGTCATATTAAGCTCTAACGAAGTGCCAAGAAGTCGTTCTAATACTGTGTTTTGTGTTTTTCGTTGGTTTGTTGAACTTATTTGGAGGCTTCCGCTTAGACAGTCGGTTAAAAACATACATAAGGATTCTCTGACAACTGGTAAAATGTTTTTTTTTTATTTAAAATGATGAACACATTGTTTCCCATGTCAGGAATGCCCCAAAAAACTTGGCATTTGGCAAAAATTTGATTACACATTCGTCTATTATTACTCCACCCCCTGAGAAGTGTATCGATATTCTATTGAAAATAATCTCTTGATAAATTGATGAAGATATCATTTATTAATTCAACAATATATTTGCATTTTTACAGTATTTATAGATTTATAGAAATTCACCCATCGAGTTCTTAAGATTGGTTTTTTTTTATTGAAATAAAGTTACATAACAACGAGTTCGATTATTACGTGTACACTCAGACACGTACACATGAAATTAATATGGAAATGCATACCCTGAGATTCTCAAAATATTCAAGATTAAATTGGGCGTACGACAGCTAACAAAAAAATAAATAAAAATATTGCAACGCTTCGTAACACCGCTATACATCTTCGCCTTTATCGTCATTTTCCTAACGTTGAATACTGGACTACGCGACGGGAAATCATCGCGGCTCGTTTATACACAATGATCACTTCTTCTTTCCGAATATCCTCGCCAGTCCGAAGCAGGAGGAGCCACCGCCGAACGACACCCTGCCCCGGCCCGGGGCGATCTCCTCCTCGACGCTGTCGGCCAGGGGTCGGCCGCGGGTCTCGGGCAGGGCCAGGCAGGCCGCCGCGGCGAGCAGCGCCAGCGTGCCGCAGAACGTGCTCGGGCCCCACCAGGCCCAGCGCCCGAGGCCGTCCACGAGGAAGGGCGCCACGATGCTGCCGACGTGCGCCAGGGCCGACGAGGTGCCCAGGGCCGAGTTGCGCGATATCGTCGGGAAGAACTCGGACGTGTAGAGGATGAAGATGCCGTAGGCCGCCGACAGGCTGAAGCGGGCGACGAGGCTGGCCGTGACGACGAGGGCCGTTTCGGTGCGCGCCACCCCGAGCAGTAGCAGCAGGAGGGCGCCGCAGACCCCGTAGAGCGCCGACGAGGCCTGCTTGCGGCCGAAGAACAGGAGGATGGGACTTGGCACGAGGTAGGCCGGGATCTCGGTGACGCCGAGCAGCACCGCGTACAGATAGTAGTCCACCGCGAAGTTGTCCACGTTCAGGGCTGCGATCGATTCGATTTAATTCAATTTTATTTTTCGCAGCTTCGAGAACGAGATATAACTATTCTTACCGAGGGCGTAGTAAGTGAGCGAGGCCGTCATCCAGGAGAAGTAGGATATGCAGGCGCGCTTGGCGAGCTCGCCGTTACTGAAGATCGTCTTCAGGCCCTTGATCTGCTCGTTCAGCGGACCGGATTTGCCCGCTGGGCTTTCGACTTTCTCGTCGACGACGGTCATCGCCTCGCCTCGACTCTGCTGCTGCTGTAGCTGCTTCTTTCTCTTGGCCCGGCTGCTGGCCTCGGATGGCTCGTCGATCGGCCCGTGAAACCTCTCCAGGACCGCCCGGGCCTCTTTCCGTCTGCCCTGCGACAACAGCCATCTCGGCGATTCCGGCATGAACCTGCGTTGCGATAATGATTGATAATACATCGTACGGTGAATTGACGAGTGATCATCGTCGAATCGTTTCCTTTTTGTTAATTTTTTTTTATCGTCGCATTCGCTGCATATGCGGATATGAAATTATTGACCTCGTATCGGTATGTGGATGATTATCAAAATTGTAATAATTAAATTTAGAGAAGTTTCACTATTGATCCTGTCCATAGACAGCTAAGTTAATATTTAAGATATTCTTTTATGATAAAAAGACCAAAAAATTGCGATTGTACGTGATATTTTTGCTGCTGTTTTCAAAAATTTTCGAATCGTGAGATATTTTAACCCGACCCTTTTTGCGAAAAATTCGATCGAAACTTTTGAAATTATAGCGGTTACAGTTCTACGCTCTCATATCACATTCTATGGAAATTTCACTGATACGTTGACAAGCCTCCTCCTTATTGAGCGAAACATCAAATAGTACCTAACTCGCCACTAGATGGCGAGTGTCGGAATTATTGTTAATCACAAGAGGAAAGGCAAAGTTTTAAGATTAAGTAACAGCTAGTTTCCACCTAGATGCGGTTAAATAAACATAATGAGTTAGCTCGTCTATGAACAGCCATCAAAAGCGAAGCAAGAAAAGTCTTGAAAAATTTAAATGGAACTTTTCTCGATTTACGACTAATTGCCCAAACTTGGGATTTTTTCAAGACCTCCTTCTTCATGGTATTCTTTTAAACATTTTATACCGATAGCTTATTCCCGCTCATCGTAAAACCACTTCAAATCGAAGTAAGTGTTCCGAAAAGTGCATAGGATTTTGTCCATAATCGCACCCAACGTATTCAAAATCGCAATCATATCGCACGAGCGAGTCGTTCGCATGGCCGATACAATACATCAAATTCGCCGGTATCTATATACGGACACGAACGGCTTCAATTTTTTTTTACATCTATGCCTCTCTTTCTCTTCTTTTTTTTATTTGCGGGCCTCGATCGAGCACGAGCCGGTGTCTGTGCGAGTGCAGCTCCCAAATTGCCATCGTACATATATAATGAAAAAAAAAAGAAAAAAAGAAAAACTTTCGAAACGCAAAAAGACACCGAAGGCAATGAAAGGACGAGGAATAGAACAGAGCCCTCGAGAGACAGCCGTAAAGGTGTCAAGTGCGCGTCTCTCGCTGATGTTCAGCAGCATCAGCAGCAGCAGCGATCGAACAATAGCAAACTATAAATGGTAAGCGGCGAGAGGCGCCGTTCGTCTTTTTTCGAAGCCTCGAAGGCACACGGATAGCTAGTAGTAGTAGTAATCTTTTTCTCTCTTACCACATGAATAGTAGCAGCAGCAGGCCCGGCAAGGAGGTGGCCGCCTGTATCTGTCTCCAGCTCGTGGCCAAGTAAGATATCCCGGCGACGAAGATCGGCCCGCTGGCGAAGCCGCAATTGAACGCTATGCCCATCCACTGTCTGTGCGTGTTACCCGCTGCCTCCGTCACTACACAAACACACACACACACACACACGCGATCCATATACATTATCACTTGGGCGTCTAGGCATATTGTGCGAGCGAACAATGGCAAAATTATATATACGTACGCGTGGTGAGAGCCGAGTACTGCACGGCGGAGAAGCTGATGCCGGTGAGGAGGCGCAGCGCGATGAAGGCCCAGTACCAGGGCACGTAGGCCGACACGGGGGCGAACAGCACGAAGAGGAGGATGCCGAGGACGTAGATGGCCCGGCGACCGTAGCGATCGGAGCTGACCCCGAGGACGCCGGCGCCGAGGAGCTTGCCGAGGGACAGGGCCATGTGGGTGGTGGCGCGCTTGGGACTGTCGCCGCACACCAGGTCCCACTGAATAATAATAATAATAATTCAATGATAACGATGAAATAAAGGAGGAGTAAGAAAAAGTAGAGCACAACCTCCTGGACCATGGAGTATCTCTGGGTGCTGCCGGGCTCGTAGTAATAGCCCTCGTCTTTCCCAACGCTGCAGTCGCGTATCGGCGTCTCGGCCTCGTGCTCGCGGGCGTAGACGAGCGATTCCTCGAAGCCCATCCCGGCCAAGACCCGATAATCGTAGTCGCGCACGCGGCACTCGTCCACCACGGAGATCCGCTGGATCTGCTCAGTGGTCCAGTTGGCGGCCCGCAGCTCGCCGACCTCGCACCAGTGACGCGGTACCTATATATACAACATAATGTATAATATATACAATATACAATATAAAATAGGATAATTTTTCTGGGATGGTTTTTGCGGTTTGACTACACTATATATATACGACGACGACGATGACACGATGATAGACACGATCGCGTGTCGCTGATCGCTTCGGTATTAGAGAGAGACAGAGATTTTTCGGCGAATTTATCGCATGCAGTTCAACAGCAGCAGAAGCCGACTCACGCGATAACCGTGTATTGCACGTGTTTCGCTTCGCGTCTGTGCGAGACGCTCAAATATATACAAGTGCGAGAAAGGCAAAGAAGACGATAATGATAATGATAATAGGAGATCGATTATCAGCTGCACAGCTGATTCTAGCCGAGATTCGTGTATAATATGTGCCATTGCCGTCGTCGAGCGTACTACTACAATTCGCGCTGATAATATGCGGATAATATTTATATACCTCGGCCATGAAGATGTACGTGTTGGAGTGCATACCGGCGAAAATCGGCGGCAGCATCGTGAAGAAGAATATCATCCAGAGGAAGCCCGAGCCCTCGCCGAGCTTGTCCAGGGCCTTCGTCAATGGATCCTCCTCCTCCTCGTCCTCCTCCTCATCTTCCTGCTTTTGGGTCTCCAGTTTGTTGGCGTTGTCGGCGATCGCCACCCGATGCTGCTGCTGATTTTTGCTACCCTCGTCCATCGTGGCGTCGCGACTCAGGTGGTACTACTACTGGTGACACTTTTGGTGGACGCGACGGAAAAATAAAAAAAAAGAGATCTCATTAAAACATGCGTCGCCGAGCTTAGATAATACAATAATGTTAAGCATTTATTGCACAGACACGATGCGATGTGTGTTATATTGGAATCGTACGTACGCGAGCACAGACACACGGAGAGACAGATAACGATCATCGACACGAGCGAGCGAGAGAGAGAGACAGAGGCTCGAGCTTTAGAACTCGACCCGGCGTAATTTTCCGCTGTAATTTTCTTTCATGTATCTGTTGTGAGCAATTCTCTCTCTATCTCTCTCTCTTCTTCTTCTTTGCTACTTAACAATACACTATATATCCGCACTGGTACATGTACTCACATATATATAGTCACGCACTCCACCGCACAGAAGCTTTATTTTTTATTTTTTCAATCGCTAAGCTCGACGTTTCGAAGGCGTCTCGACAAAAAGTCTCATCTCTCTCTCCCTCTTTTCCTCTCGATTGAACTTATTTTACGACTCTTCGCCTTTTTTTTTTGTTTAATAAAATAGCTCTCTTATCGTACCGCTCACTCAGTTTAATATAAAAGCCGCGCGCTGCTTATCTGCGCACGCACCGAGCCAACACCAGCAACATATCGTACGTGCGTGAAGCGGGTGTATAAAAACTTTAAGCGGAATAGTCGATCCGATGCCAGGCGTACTCGATCTCTCACGTTCGCAGCTTCTTCTTCTTCACCTCCTCCATCGTGTTCGGCAAAAGCTTATTTTTAGGTTCCGATCGACTTTTAAACACGGTACACTTTTATACGCGCGCGCGTCCAACTTTTCTATCTATAAGTTTACTCGTTATCCGAGCGGGGCCAGAGTCTTGTCCGTACACTGAAGACGTTGCTCCGAGTTGTTGTGTATATTTTTGCGCGGGTCGAGCCTCTCTCGCTCGCGAATCGATACGCATCTCCGTAATTCGATCTTAAAATCGATAAAATAGAGAGGCGTGTGGGGTAATAATATCGTCAATTTTGGCGATCGATCGTCATCGCTGCGGATGAGAGATTTTTTGGCCACGATGCTTTCAATGATTTCGCGAATGTAGACGCGAACAATTACAATCGTTATCGGTTTCGCAAACAGCGGCGTCACAATATAAACACGGCGCGGAATGATTTTTTTTTTTTTTTGCCGCGCCGATAAGGTGTATGCGAGCGCGTATTAAAAGCATCCGCGGAGTACACGCGATATACACATTATATTCCTTTCAACTTTTTCGCCTTATCGCGGGTATACGATAATATACACAATATATATATTTGTATTGAGCGTGATTTATTAATTTCTGTCGACTCATGTAAATAATAATCGCTTCTTTACGAGCCGCAACGAGCGTAGAGTCTTGCAAGCACGAGGCAGAGAGAGAGAGAGAGAGAATTCGGACCATAAAATGAATTTTTTAGCAGATTATGTACGCACACGCAGTCGCACTGTGCTACACGTGCTCGAGCCAACGAGAGATAAAATCCGTTGCGAAATATATCTATACACATACGTCATTTTGACAAGTCGTCGTCGCGGCTACTCACGTACATCCATAAGTGGATAAAACAGGTAATATACATGCAACATAAATAGCAATTAGTGACTCGTTGTTTTACCTCGTATCTATATATATTCTTACGCGGGGGAAATTTTTTTTCTCCTTCTTCTCGTGCCTCGTTCGGTAACAATCATCGTCGTGGTCGTGACTCGAGAATGGCCCACGCGCTTCGTCGTGGGACCCCACATGGACACGAGGCGAACGACATTCGACCGCGTGTAAAAGGCGCCTATCGTCAGATTTAGATCACGGTGTAGCAGTAAAGACGATAGAGGCGGAGAAAAAAAAATGTGTGTCAAACAATCATTTTTCACGACTGTGATTTAACACGATGATTCAGAAAGAGAGAGAACTGGCACAGATTACAGCACATCCATACACGGACGAATATACCGAACTAGATCAACGATATACGTCAAATTGCGTGAACATATAATAAACTCCCGAAAAATCATTGTATACTAGAGCCGTTACTTCTCGCGTACGCAGACACCCACGCACTGCACCACATGTAAACTTTCTTTCTATATAGCAGTAGCAGAAGCTGTTGCTCTCAGCTGCTGCTGCTTCTCTGCGCGATATCATGATGATGATGATACTCACCCACTACCACCCCTCCCTGTATGTAGCAGCGGGTAAAGGAGGATACCTCTCGCATCCACCCACGCCAGCAAGGAAAATTATTTTCCTAACCCTTCGCTATCGACGCACGATAACGAAAGCTCTGCAATTGCGCAGACTCCGATTATACGACGATGATGTGCGGTCCAGGGGGTCGAAACCAAGAGAAACGATCGTAGCGTGTGCAGTTTGAAATATATACTTTATTCGACGAACAAACGAAATTCAATTAAATTTTAAATCACCGAAAATATAATATTACGATAACAATATTCGGCTCGGAGTGCGCTATACATTCGATGTATTCAATTGTGCAGTGCGTTAAATAATAATTATGCGTGCCGTGCAGCGATGCTCAGCTTAAAGACTACTAAACGACGAGCGACAGCAGCAGCTCGTTGACGAGCCTCGAGAATGCACCGGCCAGATAGGCGAGAGACCGGCCGTACGCCTCGGCTTTCCTGCCCAGCCACGAGGCCAATCGAAAGTAGTAGTTGTAGTAGTAGTAATGGTCGTCGGCTTGCTCTTGCCTGCAACACACACATAACGCGGCAAATATAATTTTCGCAGCTGCCCCAGAGGCATATTACGCATGACGACGGCTCTCGTTGACGGAGCCTAGATTGTAAATAACCGACGTTATTACGCCAGAGAACTATACGCGATGATCCTTGTTCCATTCGAGTGTCTGTATATCATTCATTTCGTAAACGCGTAATAGGCTCGACTCTTGATACCGAGTCATCTCGCTGTTGTTGCCGTTGTTTTTTTCCTTCCTTTTTTTTTCACTTTACTCTCTTATAATCGCGCTCGCGCGAGTACTGTATAAAGTGGAAGGAAAACCGCGAAAAAGAGTACACACACACACGTACAGATAAAAGAAAACGGAAGCATTTGCTTATGTAAGTTATATACACGCGTGTATAATAGCGAAGCGCGGGATAAAAAGGAGAATTATACTGGCCTCCTCCTCTGGTGTTGTTGGTGGTGGTGGTGCAACGACGACGACGCCGCCGCCGCCAGCTGCTTCTGGGCCATTGTCCGGTTGACGAAGGTGTACGCGTAGCAGGCCGGATGCCGGCCCAGCGTGCGGACTTTGTGATACCTTCCGGTGCGCAGGCTCAGCGTAGTAGCAGCAGCAGCTCTTGCATCGAGTACAATTGTCCTAAGCTCGCCACCGCTGCTTTTGCATCCTACCTCTCCTCCTCCTTCTTCTTCTTCTTCGTCTTCTTCGTCTTCTTCTTCTGCTTGTTCAACGGCTATCTTGCCGTCGATTAGACGAAGGGTCACGTTGTCGAGCTCGCGGCCGAGATACTGCTCGAGGCTCAGGCCCGGATAGTCGGCCACGAAGAGGACGTCGCTACTTTCGGACCAGGCCAGGGTCTCGCGCTCGATCCTGTCGAGCTCCGGTCTGCGGACGATAGTCAAAAAAAAAAAGAGATCAACGCACGTGTGTTTATAAGCTGTACACGATTAATCGGTCGATGAGAATCATACGCTCGAGGCGTGCATACTACTTTATAATAGGTATATTATAAGGTTGTGGCGCGGATAAGGTTGCGGGGCCCTTTTCAAAGCGACGCAGAAGCCACTGCTTTCTTATAGAAATACGCTTGTGTGCACCCTCGGCCTTGGAAAGTTCCTCTCTCTCTCTCTTTCTATCGCGCCGCGTGTTACAACACACATAGCTATTCAATACGGCACTTAACACAAAAACTACGCAATCACTAGGCGCATGGGAAAGACGATGGACTCTGCGCGTAAGAGGAGAATCGTGTGGCGTTTATATTCGAGTACGATCGCCTGGGTTATTATATGTATGATACACTCGTGGATGACCCTCACTCGGCCGTCTGCATTGTATCGCGCACACCTCCGAACGTATTCATATATGAAAGTGACACGACGTCGCGTCGCGGAAATGCGTCTCTATTTATATTATATACGTATATATATGCGCGTTTCTCATGGGCGATGAGAAAAATTTTATCGTCCTGAGAAATTTTATATGAATTCTATATATCGATGTACCTGTAAGCCGTGAACTGCTCGAGCAACGGCATCAGGTAAGAGGCCGGTCTGAGGGGGTGCCAATCGACCGTCAACAGATCGACCCGCGGATCGAACAGCCTCTGCTGGAATCGGCCGTTCAGCGAGCACCAGACGTCCACGTAGATGCTGATGTTCGACGACAGTCCAATCATCGGTGACTTTTCCAAATTTTCCTTGAGAATTATTTGGGCAGCGAGGGAAAGAAAAGTAATGTTGCAAGGCTTTGTGACCGATATTATATTGTTTATATTATATGGGCTATTGTACAACGGGTGGTGATGGACTGTTGAGATCATTATTTTGTGTAAAAAATATAGTAATTGTTTCATACGTATAAGAATTAAAGAATTTCAGGTATTTAGCTTTTGATTTTGTTTTATTTAAAAAAATATATGCTTATGGCTAAGTTACACAAAACTTGTCACATCGAGAGCATATTTACATAATATTATTATTCTAAAAAATATTTCACGTAAATTAAATGTTAATGTCTTTAAAAAATAATACCATTTCGCTTCCTTAGCAAACAAGTATCATTCTATATGTGTTCTTCATTAGTCTGCTCGCACAGACGGTACAGTTCATCATCGTCCATGTATTCCGCCAAATTCAAGCCGACATCGTACGGCAAATTAGTTTTACAATGTTCCGTCATGAACAGATCGGCTACGAGTTTTATGAATTGCGTCCTCATCAAAATGTGAGCGAGGTGTCTTTTCACAATTGGGCTCAAAATCTTTAAATCGTGCAGTTTCGGTAGAGGCCGATTCTTAACTTTTTTCAAAATCAGAGAGCCCTTCTTATAGCTCATTTGGCAAATTTGATACAGCGAGATGTCTTTGTACATCGTAATATTTTTCATCGTGGCAATATCGTGTTCCAATTTTCTTTCTATCCACCGACGAACTGAGTCCGGTGATTTTCTTAATAGAAACCGATGTCGATTCAAGTAATCCAAAGTTTCTCGTTTCACGAAGAAGCCACTGTTTTCTTGAACGAGTAGGTGAATTATAATGCCAGAAGGGATGCTCTCGATGAAAGTTACATCGTCCTCGCGAACTTTCAGCCAAAATTTCAAGATGCAAAATCTAGTGTAGGTGTCCAATGCGTAATCATGCGACTGCATCGACGCCATTGTCTCGACGATGTGTCGAGGGTTGGAATCGTACCTCACGTTCTGCACCATTTCTCGCTTCAAATCGCCCAGACTCGCGCCGTGCGTCAACAGCGATCTCGCGAGGTCAAAATCTAAACAGGACACGGCCATATCCAGAGGTGTGTATTCTCTAAGATTGCGCGCGTCCACGATCGCTCCTTTCGAAATCAGTAACCGGATTATAGCGTCGACTGCTTTTTCTTCGTCGCCGTGTTCCCGTCGATCGGAACACTCACATATCCTCAATCGCGCGAGTGCGTGAAGAGGCGTCGACTCGTCATTCTTGTCCACTCGATTCGGGTCGGCTCCGTGCTCCAATAAAAACTTTACGATTTCCTCGCGTCTGTAACGAACGGCGAGGTACAGCGGCGAGCGCGCGTACGTGTCGAGATCGACGTCTACTCCTTGGCCGATGAATCGCTCGACCGCCGTGTAATTTCCGGTCATGCAGGCCGCGTGTAGGTAAGTGTAGCCGCGATCGTCACCCTGGTTTTTGGTTGAATTTTTCAAAAAGTAATCGATGAGGTTCTTGTCGAGCGCGCCGATTTTATGATTTTTGGAGGATAATTCGAGCGAGGCCAAGTAATGAAGCGCGGATCGACCATCGTCGAACCTGACCTCGTGGATGTTTAGAAGCAGGTGCTCTTGAAGAAACATCACGGCCTCGAGTTTCTTCCGTTGCAGCGCGAATTTGAAAAAATTACTCACGCTTGGGAATTCTCTTCCATTTCTCACGTGGTCTGCCATATTTTCAAAATTCATTTTTCGTTCGGAAGATTTAAAAGATCTATACACGTGTTGAATAACCTTACAAAATCTTTCGTGTCGATCCTCGATATCCTGTGTTTCTCTTCTCGATTCTTTGAATTTCACTTCCCTCGTCGAACCTCCGAGTAAACTTTCCATTTTACAATAATCAGTTGATAAAATAACTTTCGAGATAGTGAAAATGGATTGTATTAACGCCGATCACTGGACAATACTGAAAGTCGTTGAACGCCTGGTTTTCTGAACACGTGGTCTGAACGGTATGACACTGCCTTATAGACTAAGCGACAGTAAACACGAATTAGTATGCCGTATGTCTCACTAAAAAAAAATCAAAAATAACTCGCACGTTTAATGCGCCTGTGCGCGAGTGCATGCGCGAGTACTTATGAGTACGAAATATGAAATACAAAATTAAATTAAATGCATAAAACTAATATATAATAAATTAGTACAAATTGTATTTCAAAGCCGTATTGACTCAAGGGGTGGCGGTGGCGGCAGAGATCGTAACGGTATTAACGCATCTAGCCGCACTATCGCCAATTTCTTCGCGCGCGGAATTTCAATAGCCGAATTATTGTGACAAGAGATAGATGCATAGATGGATATTTTATTGGGCTCATGGTGTGCCGTGTAAACGATTTAAAAATACAATTTAGTCTTATAAAAATTATTTACGAAATAGTACCAAATTACCGTTTTAGAGCTAACAGGGGGCTTAATTATTCATCATTTTTCAATTACAGTATTAGGCTGTAAAAATAAAACAAAAATTTTTTTTCAATGACAAATATAATAACCTTTTTCAATAGCCTATTTGAAAGTATTTTGTCAAGTTAGATACTTAGAAACAGTTAAGTACATCAATAGTGGGGCTGTTAATACTCAACAAAGGCTTTAAATACGTCTAAGCTACCTGTCGTACAAAACCAAGAGCAAGCGTTTCATTTTGTTCGATAACCAATTGGCCATGGTCACAACCAAAAGCTAGCCATAAGATGAACTGTTGCTACTTGTACACATAGCAAAGTGAAATTAATTTATGGAAAATGATAAAAAATGAATACTTAATTCTAGAAAATTGTACACAGGAGTAGCTACAGTTCATCTTATGGCTAGCTTTTGGTTGCGACCATATCCTTCTTTAGCTGGATGCTCCCTCTTGGATTTCTACGACAGGTAACTTAGACGTGTTTAAAGCTTTTGTTGAATATTAACAGCCCTACTATTAATGTACTTAACTGTTTCTAAGTATCTAACTGAAAAAAATACTTTAAAATAGGCTATTGAAAAGGGTCATCATTTGTGTAATAAAAAAAAAAACATTTTTTTTTCACTTTTATAGCCTAGTACTGTAATTGAAAAATGATAAATAATTAAGCCCCCTGTTAGCCCGTAAATATGAAATAAGTAGTAGAATGAATAAAATTAAATTACTTTTTATCCAAAAAGTTTAAAAACTTTGATTTAGGAACTTTCAATATAACTTATTTAATAAAACTATTATTTATATAGTTATCGTACATCACACTTTTTGAATATTTTCAGTTTCAGAGCCAATTTCAAATATTTTAACGTTACAAATATAAAATTCAAACTGGTACTTCAGCTATTCGTTTGAAATCTACTGACTTAGTTTCAGAATTTTGATTTAATAACCTTTCATCTTACGAATTAAAGTAATATTTATATTTATTTTTATATATTTATTTTTATTTTTATAGGTAATCTTCAAATTATGGGAAAACTATGGCAAACGAGCTAAATTAATAATTTTGCCATACTTTTTTTCTCATAATTTTACCACAGCATTCTTTCCACGCGGTTGCTCGCACCTACGAAGCAAAAAAATCAAGCCTCCGAGCACACAAGTATCAGCCTCTAAGGCTTTCTAGATTTTTGCTTCTCCGGCACGCAATTTACAACATATACCTTGACGCAGTGGGCGTACTGCCTGACCATGTCGGGGTGCCTGGCCCAGCGATCGTTGAGCGTCCAGATGCCCGGATCGAGGTAATGGTCCTGGTCTCGCTCGTTGTCGCGCACCCGCACCACGACGTGCGCGACGTCCCAGGCGTGCACCATCATGTCCCAGGAGTAGCCGTACATGCCCGACACCCAATTGTTGTAGCCCTGCGATTATTAATATCGATTGTTTTTCGTCAATTTTATCTCGCAGGTATATGAGAAAAATTTCGCGAAAAATAGCGGTAGTTGTAGCATCGTACTAATCCGTATATACCTTGGTGACAAAGTGCGAGTAGGGCAGGAACAGCTGCAGGGCCACGTGGGCCGTCAGCAGAGCGACGACGAGCCGCTGACTCTTGCTCACTGTCATTACGGCCCTCTTCCTTCGTTCTCTCCTTCGGCTCATTGTCCCGATGCGGTCGTTATCCCGCACCAGCGGCAAATCCTTTTTTCCGCTCTTACTACTGTTGTTGTCATCGCCTCGGTCTGCGTAACGCATCATCGGTTCCGCGGATGCAGTCGTCGTCGTCGTCGGCGAATATAAGCGAGGCCCGCCTTTACGCTGGAAGAGCTTCCGGGGCCAGTCGTAGCGACGACAAAAGAGCGGCATTGTGGCCAGACACACGTAAGGAAACATTCCTGCAAATGCGTTTCGTTTATGCGTGTATTGCATGCCACGGATACACAACGAAGGATTTCGTAATTTTTTTTTCTTCTTCGCTCTCTTTCTCTCCTCTATGCGCGTTTCGTTCTCATTTTTTAACTCGTGTGCCTTTATACGTACATGAATGTAGTTTGTTACGCTCGCGCATACACGCGAGCGGCTAAAAACGGAAGGAAGGAAGGAAGGAGTCGAGTCGGTGCACGCACGAGGCGATGAAAGGAGCCACTTGCGTAAGATATATATGCACGCAAGTTGCGGCTGCGTCGCTCGTACGTCAATACGTCTTACCATTACGAACGTTCATTTGATTATTATTATTACGAGGTCTTCATCTCGTACCGTCAAATCGTTCGTCTTTTTTATTTTTAACTTTATTGAATAAATTATAATTTACAGAAATTTGCTAATTGTTTATTACACCGGAGATCAGTAGTATGATTTTACCAATAATAAATAGTAAGTTTAGAGTGTCTCTGTTGACATAAATTTTGTCAAACTTTCATTTCACGATTTGTAAATATTATTACACTTATGTTACCTAGCTCGATGTGTAACATCATTACGGAACAATTAGTCGTTGATCAAGTTCCAAGTGATAAACATGGACTTCAGTGATGTATATAACTCTGATGTCAGGTAATTTTTATTTACTGGCGAATGAAATTTAAAAAAAAAATGGCCCAACCCTTTGTACTATTGGAAATTTTGCAGAGTGAAGGAGGAACCAAATGATTTTGCCCCTATTGAAAATGATGATTATCAGATAATTGACAATGCACACGATGCTAACACTGATGATCAATCCTTGCGATGTCTAGAAAATTTTGTAAGTGTTCAAATAGCACTGCTTGTAGCTGACATTTTCAACAACGATTTTCCCTAATCTTGAATTCAAATTGTTTTCTAGACTCGTGGCCCTGACGATGTCAAAGTAGAATTCGAATGTAAGGACGAGAAGCTCGGCATTAACTTATTAGTAGTCAAGAAAATCGAGGACGATTATCCAGATCATTTGCAGCATATGGAAAATAGTTACAATAATCAAACCCAAAAGAAAATTAAAAAAGAAATTGAGGACGAAATAAAAGAAGAATTGAATTCGGATGGTGAACTAAGTGATGCATTTGATGCAAATGAAAAAACATTTGCTCAAAAAAGTTTATGCGAAACCCAAACTGATAAGGCACGCAATCGTACCAAATATCCATGTAATGTATGCGGTACAAAATTTACACGAAAAGGTAGTCTCAAGATCCACATCGATGCAGTTCATAATGGTGTCAAGCATACGTGCGTTACATGTCGAAAAACATTCACACTAAAATACACTCTCAAAATTCACATCGATTCAGTACATAATGGTGTTAAACATGATTGTGGTGTATGTGGAAAGACATTCACTCAAAAAGGAAAGCTCAAAAGTCACATCGCTGCGATGCATAATGGTATGGCACCAACATGCGAAATATGCGGAAAGAAATTTCAAACGAAGGCTAAACTCAAGATTCACATCGATTCAGTACATAATGGTGTTAGACATGCGTGTGGTGTATGTGAAAAGACATTCGCACAAAAAAGAGATCTCAACATTCACATCAACGCGATGCATAAAGGTATGGCACCTACTTGCGAAATATGCGGAAAGAAATTCTCAACTAAGACTAAACTCAAACTCCACATGGATGCAGTGCATAATAAGATAACTCACGCATGTGATACATGTGGCAAAATATTTACGCTGAAAGATAATCTTAAGAAACACATCGATGCGATGCATAAAGGTATGGCACCTACTTGTGAAATATGCGAAAAGAAATTCGCAACTGAGACTTCACTGAAGCTTCACATCGATACAGTTCATAATGGTGTTAAACATGCGTGTGGAGTGTGTGGAAAAACATACACACAAAAAGGAGATCTCAAAATTCACATCGATGCGATGCATAATAAGATAACTCACGCATGTGATACATGTGGCAAAATATTTTCGCTGAAAGATAATCTTAAGAAACACATCGATGCGATGCATAAAGGTATGGCACCAACTTGCGAAGTGTGCGGAAAGACATTCTCACGAAAGGGTAATCTTAAAAAACACATGAATTTGATGCATAATAAGATAACTTACGCATATAATACTTGCGGCAAGACATTTACTCAAAAGGACCGTCTTAAAACTCACATTAAAACGCAGCACGAAGACATTGCATGCGTTATCTGCGGAGAAAAATTTAAACATAGGAAATATCTATACAGACACATCAAAAGTGAGCATGAGGGCAACACCCAAGCACGAGATTAATGCAAAAGATCTAAATCGTACCTATCAATACCGCGCAAAATGATAAAACATCGAGACAAATGAGTAGCCGTAAAACTGTCATCGAAATAGCGCATCACTCACGCATTACTACCTAATAAATGTATTAAATGGACATTGAAATTTTGTAAAAAAACAATTACTATTACATTTCGGATTACTCCTATGTTTTCCATCTCACTGCTTACTAAACGATCCAGTTATGAAAAAATCAATAAATTTTTTATAAAAAAACCATGATGTTTCATTTAAATCAATCTATCTATCATTTTTATCAATCTGTGCGGTTTTGTTGAGCACACACTTAAAATGAGAATTTTTGCAGAAGGTGTCTCTTGCATAAGATGTCAAATTAATTATTCATAATCACCAGCTTTTTTTTAATAATAAATAAAGTATGACGCGGAGCATTCAAGCACACACAGAGACGCACACCTTACCTGTTGTTGTATACTTAACTCTGGCCTAAAAAGCAAAAAGCTGCGTCCACCCCTAGTGAGCACCGACTTATATTATATAACGGCGTGATATTGATTATTATTAAAACATCGGTAGCGACGATCTGTACGTACTATACGTCTCAAAGAGAAGGTATATATATACATACGTAATTATGGCTAATGCAACATTTGACGGCGTGACAATATGATAGGGAAGCTCGAACTCGAGCGAGGGTGGATGGAAGCGCGCAAACCTTCGCGCCTACTGATCATTCAGAAAAATGCGATCGTATGTGCGGAAAATGGAAAAACTAAGGGAAAATTATTTTTCAATATTACTAAATCTTCAGCTCGGAAAACAAAAAGAATTAATAGTTCCGGAGCTTGGATTGCATACGTCATTTACGTTATCGAAGTTTGATATCGATGCCGTCCGGACATAATCGTTCATTAAATGAGAAATTGATCAAAATTAATTAAACATATTAAAAACTTTGATAAATGGAAAAATTGAAAAATTGCTCGAGATCTATATAAAAAATAGGCTGATTTATTTAACTCGCCCTTGACACAGGTAAACATAGTCACGCTACGCTTCGCTATAGTTTCGTCAACTCGCGCATTTTTAGGTGTTCTCGGTACATCTAAGATGATTGCCCGCGTCAAAACGATATACATTTCGCTCGTGATTCAGACATAAACGACGACAATTTCTAACAACTCTTAGTGCATTCACTGTACTAGGACACATCATAAGCTCGATTCATGAAGTGTTATTATTACTTTTTTTTATTTATAATTTCTTTGTAATAAAATACAATCCAAATAAAATTGCTAATTGTTTACTATGCCGGAGATCAGTAGTATAATTTCTCCAATAATAAATAGTCAGTTTAGAGTGTCTCTGTTGACATAATTTTTCTTAAACTTTCATTTCAAGATTTGTAAATACTGTTACATTTATGTTACTTAGTTTGATGTGTAACATCATTACGGAACAATTAGTCGTTGATCAAGTTCCGAGTGATAAACATGGACTTCAGTGATGTATATAACTCTGATGTCAGGTAATTTTTATTTTCTGAAGAATGAAATTAAAAAAAAAATGGCATAATACTTTATATTATCGGGAATATTGCAGAGTGAAGGAGGAACCAAATGATGTTTCCCCAATTGAAAATGAAGATTATATGATAATTGACAATGCACGCGATGCTAAAACCGACGAATTCTCGAGTTTATGTCGAGAAAATTTAGTAAGTGTTGATGTGGGACTGTTTAGTCAATATTTTTATCGAGTATTTTTACTAATATCATTTCCAGATTCATGGACTTAGAGAATATGATGAAAATTCTGGACCTAATGACGATTTGGAAATAGAATTCCAATGTAAGGACGAGAAGCTCGGCATTGACTTATTAGTAGTTAAGAAAATCGAGAACGATTATCCAGATAATTTGCAGTATATGAAAAATAATCACGATTATCAAAGTCCAAAAAAAATTAAACAAGAAATTGTCGATGAAATAAAAGAAGAATTGAATTTGGATGGTGAACTCAGTGATGCATTTGATGCAAATAAAAAAACATTTGCTCAAAAAAGTCTATGCGAAACCCAAACTGATAAGGCACGCAATCGTACCAAATATCCATGTAATATATGCGGTAAAAAATTTTCACGAAAAGAAAATCTTAAGATTCACATCGATGGAGTACATAATGGTGTTAAGCATGCGTGTGGTGTGTGTGGAAAGTCATTCACACAAAAAGGTGATCTCAAAATTCATATCAACGCGATGCATGATGGTATGGCACCTACTTGCGAAATATGCGGAAAGAAATTTCAAACGAAGTCTAAACTCAAGCTTCACATAAATTCAGTGCATAATGGTATTAAACATTCGTGTAGTGTATGTGAAAAGACATTCACACAAAAAGGACATCTCAAAATTCACATCAATGCAGCTCATAATGGTGTTAAACATGCGTGCGGTATATGTGAAAAGACATTCACACAAAAAGGTACTCTCAAAATCCACATCGATGCGATACATAATGGTATGGCACCTAAATGCGATATATGTGAAAAGACATTCACGCAAAAAGGAGATCTCAAGAGGCATATCGATTCAGTTCATAATGGTGTTAAACATGATTGTGGTGTATGTGGAAAAACATTCACACAAAAAGGAGATCTCAAGAGGCATATCGAGGGACATAATGGTGTTAAACATACGTGTGTTGTATGTGGAAAGACATTCACACAAAAAAGAAAGCTCAAAATTCACATCGATGTGATGCATAAAGGTATGGCACCTACTTGCGAAATATGCGGAAAGAAATTTCAAACGAAGGCTAAACTCAAGATTCACATCGATTCAGTACATAATGGTGTTAGACATGCGTGTGGTGTATGTGAAAAGACATTCGCACAAAAAAGAGATCTCAACATTCACATCAACGCAATGCATAAAGGTATGGAGTCTACATGCAAAATATGTGGAAAGACATTCACATATAAGAGTAATCTAAAAATGCACATGAATTCAATGCATTTAAATAAGATCACTCACCCATGTAATACGGGCGGCAAGACATTTTCACGAAAGGATGTACTGAAAATCCACGTAGATTCAATCCATAATAAAATAACTCACACATGTAATACATGCGGTAAAACGTTTGCGCTAAAAAGGACTCTCAAGAAACATGTCGAAGCTTCGCACGGTAATAATATTCACGCCTATGAATAATTATGTGGAGAGTCATTTGCATTAAAGGGTTATCTGAATAAACACGTCAAATTGTGCATATTGGCTAACCCATGCATCAGATGAATGCAAAAAAAAATGTCCGCAAAATATTTTAAAAAGACAACTAACAATACACAACGAAAAAACATTGAGACAAATGATTAGGCTCAAAACCGTCATTAATATGGAGCTTCATTCAGGCATTATGATCAAATAAATGTATAAAATATTCAATTTTGTAAAAAATAATTATTATTATATGATGGAATACTCCCATGTTTTTCAATCGAACTACTTAAAAAAAAATTCAAAAAGTTTTAAGAAAAGCAATAAACTTCCTAAAGAAAAAAATCCTACGATTTACGGCGCACATTTTCCCATCGCACTTCTGTGACCACCAACCACCGCGCGAGCAACACGACTTTGCGTAATTCTCTCCTCGATTTTAAAAATATATAATATCATTCGAACCTATGCTGAACAATCGCGAATTCATGGCGTGAAACAGGACGCAGGCGAGCATGGCCGGCAGTCGGGTGGCGTCGTGCAGCATCAGCAGGCCGACGCTCAGATCGAAGCCGAAGGTCAGCCAGTGCACGACGTAGAGGTCGGTGCGCTCGGCGCCGAGGCACCATCTCACCGGCCGAAAGAGCCAGTGACGCGACAGATTCGCCATGGCGTAGCCGGCCAGCCACTCGGTGCCCGACTTCTTCAGGCCGGCGACGAAGTACAGCACCAGGTACTGGAACTTGAGCGCCGAGTAGTTCCATGCGGGGACGTGCGGCGATTTTCGCGGGTTCAACGAGCTGTAACATGTGTACCGAATGTAAGAATAGATCGCGAATTAAGGGACACATGTACCTTGAAATTCTTATTTAAAAAAATTAGACCTAAAATTAAAATTGAGATTGGTCAATATTTAGGCTTCTGACTAACTCTTAAGATAAAATATTTTCACCCCTAGAAAAGGTCCCCTTGATTAAGAAAAGTTCAATTGTATTATGTACCGTAACATTCAAGTAGAATCCATAACCTTTTGAAGTTTCTGGAGGGCTCTATTTATTTGTTGCAACAATTTCTATGGTCGCTACCTCTAGCCAAATCATCGAATAAGTTAGAACCATAGTATTCGCATAAAGCGAATATGTTTTAAAAAATTTTCTTCACTTTATTGAAATATTCTCACAATTATAGTCACACAGAGACTTTTGATGGCATTGTTGCGACAACCCAATATAGCCCTTCAGGAACCTCAAAAGGTTATTGGTTCAACTTGACATAGACATACAATCTAATTTAAAATTTTCTTAGTCAAGTCCTGTAAATGTAGAAACACATTTCCAGTATGTTGGGGTGATAATATGTTGTTCAAAGGGTTAAATATGAAATAAAAAGGACTTCAAGGTGTACGTATCCCCTTAAAATAAAAAAAAAGAAAGGGAAACACTTGCAAGTATCCGTCAGCCCCCGTGCCCCATAGCAGCAGAGCCGTCAGGCCGAAGAGATACGAGTGATTGTTCCAGAAGCTCTTGTCAAGCAGCAGCAGGTACCAGTAGCTCAGCACGTAGAGGCCGCAGCTCAGCCTGAAGCGCAGACCCAGACAGAGCCCGAGGGCGCCGAGCCACATGGAGCCGTAGCAGGCCAGGCAGAGGACGTCCGGATTGGCGGGCGGACGCCAGCCGTGAATCAGCGGGAAGCGACAGGTACGGGGATCGGACCATCTATCCGGGAAGCGGGACAGGCCGCGCTCCTCGACCACGTCGATCATCATGCAGAGGCCTGTATACGTTTGCGCGTCGTATAATGTATTTGATTGATAATATTAAAAATTCGATATTCTTACCGAAGAGAGCTCGAACGACGCCGAGGCATGCCGAGTCCACCGGCCGATACATGTCGCGCACGACGTCGTCGAAGCTCTTCCACGGGACCAGCAGCTCGCGAGCTCGATCTAGGCTTCTTTTCGCACTCGCGAACACATCCACAACATTTTTTCTCTTGTCCATGCCTACTTATGCACGAGGAGCTCGCTCGAGGTATCTCGTTCACGGCTGAAACGAGTTACACAGACTACAGCGCGCGATCGTCGACGCTCCAAACCCTTCTCTCGTCGACTCGTAACCCCGAGCAACGATGGATCTTTTTAATTCATCGTTAATTTTATAATAATAAAAAGCTCATTATATCAGAGAGACTCTACGCGTACTCTCGCTCTCGATGACCTCGATACGCGATCGACCGTGAACGCAGCGATCGATATTCCTGCGCACATTATGGCATTCTCTCTCTAATAATCTCTCTCATTTGAATTTTCCTCGATGATCGCTTTGTACACGGACAAGGCACGCAGTGCTACGAACAAAAGTCGATTCTGCACTGACTACAACTAAGCTTCGCCTTATACGTAGTCTCCTATTTCTCGAGGGACTCGAGCTCTCCGTGCTGCGCGACAACGATCGACATTAATTCCAATCATTTCCGAAGCACTGCACCGAATACTGTACTATAAGGTCCAGATAGAATACGGTACATAACGGCGGCTCACCCGCACTTGCACACACACAGAGAGCCCATGAAAATCCCCGGCGTAATTCATTTATCACTGCCTCGTTGGCAACTGTACGTCTTGTGTATAAATACGCATGGACGCAGGAGCGGGAATCGCGCCGCGTCGTTTTTATGTACAAAAGTGCGTCAAAGATTGCGCGCGACTATGGGGGATGATGTCCAAATTGGTTTTCATGAAATTATAGCGACGCGTTGTTCTTCGTGTCTCTCCGTTTTTACTTTTATATTATACTTTATGATCGCTCGACTTGCATCGGCAGCTCGCGTGATAAAACTCGAGTGATTTCGGCCAATCGAGCTGGAACGCAATATTCGATCGCTCCCTCGATCGGTGTAAAAGAAAAAACGAAAATGTAGTCGGCACGGCACGTCGAGCTGATCGCGTCAGTCGCAATCAATTATCGTAGCTCTTGGACAAACACACATACGAGCAATGACCGTAATATATTCGAATACCTCTTGATCAAATACGAGAATATAATATAAGAACGAAAGAAAAGGGAAATAAGTTATAGTTGACCCTTTGGCCCGAAGGGTGGACTCGACCGAAGAAGTAAAAAAAAAAAAGGGATGTGCGTCGCATCTCCGGCACGTTGAATTATTTGCTCTCTCTCTGTACGCCGGGGCCTGTTTATCCAAGATTATAATGCGTGAAAGCACCTGGATATATATAATATATAAACGAGCTATGTAGATGCGTGTGTTTATACGTAGCCCCCGTCGCTCGTCGAGCCTTACGCAGACTCTATTTACTCGGCTATTTATCACGGTTTATTATTACTCATTGTGTTTGGCCGCGATATGCCGCATGGCCAAAGACTCGTATATATATACGGTTTTACAAACCGTGTCCGATCGTATTTGCATACACATCCGAGGCACTATACACAGATAGGAGTAAAAGGGATTTGACGTTATACAAAGGTCATGATTTTTTTCTTGTCTCTCTCTCTCTCTATTTTCGGCTCCGATCGCAACGCATTTACACGCCCGACGGAAGATAGATAGATGCTTCAGCGTTTTTGAAGCGGGATGACACGCAGCAGTCGGTGTCCGATTTCACGCTTTGGCCCCTTTACACACACACGCACACTGTACTTTACTGTGGATACGTAATAATGCAGTCGGCTTATATTTATAGGTATTATATGCGTTCTCGAGTTTGACCTTCTTCACGGTCCTGAGCGTATACATCCTCGATGATGCTGTTTTGTACTCGCGAGTAAACGAGTGATGTGGGAGTGAAAAGTCGTAGATCGGGAGAATATATTTTTCCTAATTATTAAAGATTAAAGAAATTTAATTCTTATATTTGAAATCAATGAACCTTTTTCACTAAAATTCGATCTCAGTACTTTAACTTATATATAGTTATATTTTACGTTTTCACTTGTAGATTTACAAATTAAGGTACTCGCCATCTAGCGGTGAAGGCTTAAAGCGTTATTATAGATTTGCAGTAGTTGATAAACTGGTACACTGGGTTAACATAGATTCTGTTTGGTCCAATACAGTAGTGGAACGTGTTCCGGCGTTACACTGGACAGAATCGATGTGAACCCAGTGTACATACAAACTGTGTGAATTAAATGAATTTTAAAAATCGACAGAAACAAACTAATTAATGTCAATATATTTTATCCACAAGTTAATCATTAAAAAGGATAAACTTGTTATCACGTTTCGAGCTAAAATTTAAAAATAGACAATTTTAAGGAAACCACTATTTTATGAACGTTAAATGCCATACTCAAGCAGTTGCAAGAGAAACAAAAAATAGTTTCCAAATTCTTCTTCACTTAAATGTAACTTTTTTGAAAATTTTGAGACCCCGCAGATGAAGAACTTGCGTCGAAATCGAGTGGCCAATCATGATAAAAAGTTTTAATAAAAAATTTGTAAAATTCTTATTTAGAAAGAGTTTTTTCTGGCCAATTAGGTGCATTATGAAAATATTTTACAATTATGAAAAATGTTTTTCAACTATCTCGATTTTCCGTGGCTACTCTTACAATTCAGCTCGAAATACGAGTTTATCCCCTTAATATTGAACATTTCTGTCAGTAATGCAATATAAATTTTATTAAAGCGAGTCAATCCACGTTTTTCTAACGCCGACTAAGAAAAGTAATATCGAGCTTTCATATAATATCAACGACGACTCGAATTGAAATCGGCCGCGCTACTGAAATCGAATCCTTTTCGCGCTCCCTCTGAAACTTTATCCACACACACACTCTCTCTATTACTCCAACTCGCGTTCGAACGTATAAATCCATTCGAGTACTTCGGCTTTTCTCATTTTTTCACACGTTTATACGAAATCGCGCCTTTTATGTAATGTACTCTCGCGCGATCGGGTGCACTGTAAGCAGCTGCATCATAGACGCGCGATAAATCCTCGCGAGTTTCCAATTCACTCGGGTGCGCGGCAGGTATTATTCGTCATCGATATTATTAACCCTATCCCCGCGTCACGAATCCGATGCCATGCGAAAGTGTGTAAAATCGTCGAATTTCTACCAGATATCGTCGAAAAAAATGTATACAACTACAGAAAGAGAGACGTAAAAAGGTGCCTAGAAAGGACTATCATCGGCTCTTCTATAACTGGCACTCGTTTTTCTAGCCGACTATATATACACACACACATCGACCGACCGGCTAGCGAAAAAAAAGTCAGGCATAAAATTAACAGTATATATATAATATATATAATAAAAAGTGCGACTGTAGTACGGGCCGTGCGCGCGAGTTCGATATTATATATACAGGCTAGACTGGTGCGCGCCGCGCACACACCCCTTCGGGCAAGAGTCGAAGCGGAGAATAAGAGAGAGAGAGAGCGAAAAAAAAGGGGTGCAGAGTGAGGAGTAAAGTACAATGGAACCCTTTAACCAACCCCCCGCGCCGGCGGACCCATACATCATCGCGCGCGCGCGCGTGCACTGGCAGCAGCAGCATAGATGCTGTGTAAAGACTCTTTTGCCTTATTTATACAGGCACATATATAGTCGAAGCCAACGATGAAGGACCTCGACCCTGTGTGTGTGTATATATAAACTATTTTTTTTCCTTCTCGTACTTTACGATGTATACCTATAACGATCGTACGCGTGGCCGCGTGATATACGTACGCGTAATGCAATGTACGCGACGCGATTTTTGCGCGAGTTATGTACTTGCACCTTTTGATCGGTGGACGTATACGCGTATGCGATATAGTTTATGATATCGTACTTTTTTTTTGCATGTGCATATTTATGGTTTGAATATTTTTTTCATCATTAACGTGTGTGCAGCGGCTTGATGTTTTTGGATCGAAGACATATCGAGGGTATCCGACGTGGATTACTGATTTTCTTGATGTATTTACGAGGCTCGATTGCAAATTAGGATGATCGACGCGTTTTTTACCGTCTGTACATTTGAATAAACCGTCTCTACCACGAACCGTTTACCATGAACGTTATATATATTATACGAATTCGACAATCGTATATAATTTTATAAATTCAAACATCGCTGCCCCCTGGTAAAAATTGAAAATTAGCGTGAAAACCACGGCGTGAAACGAGGTCCGAGCGTACATAAAGAACTGCTGCCGCTGCCTATAAGCTCGAACATAATAAACACTTGTTACCGCTGCGTCTAGATCCCAACCCGATCGAATGAAGGAGAAAAAAAAACACTACCATGTACATTACTCACCCTTTCATAGACTCGGTTCGTCGTATACTCGCAGTCGAGTATAGTAGCAGTGGCAAATATAGTAACTCTAGTCGCAGTCCACGCACACACACACACGCATATATGCCCGCGGGTATAATCGCGTCGAAAAAAAAAGTCAATGTCGAAATTCATAAACCTATACGTACGGTACGGGGTTGTTCGATCGCTCTCCTGACCATATCACAACAATGACAGTATATGTATCGCGCAAAATTCGTAAGTCATATTTGCCAAGTATATATATAATACAGCGAGTGTCGAGTCGAGCGCCGACAGGGCCCATCGATCATACGCGTATAAAACAGAAATCATCTATCTCGTCTGTGTACCGCGCGCGAGCGATGTATCGAGGAGTAGTAGACACGAACGAGCGACGAAGCATCGCCGCTGCATGGCTATATAACACACGCACATTGTGCGTAATCCGCTTTTCGAATCGACCCAACCCCTTTTTATTTTTTACTCGCGCGTAGGTATAGCACCTAGCTACTAGTGTACCGATCGAGAACGTGTCACAGCACGGCTGACTGATTGTAAAACTATGGACTGGGCACCAGCATATCGTACGCGCAGTGCGAAAGTTAGAGAGAGAGAGAGAGAGAGAGAGAGAGAGAGAGAGAGAGAGAGAGAGAGAGAGAGAGAGAGAGAAAACGACACGATGCCTCGATGATGGCGTTTTTTAAGTTTATATAATACAATGTATAGA